GCTAGTGGCCAGTACCTCCAGAGGCCTGCACTTAGGGATGCACTTCTGACAGGCAGCGTGTGCTCCCGGAAGGCTCCCTCCACAGCTTTCAAAATAGAAGCATAAGCTGGGACCTAGCATTTAAAGCATGAATTTGTGGCGACAGATCAGACTCAGTCCATAACAGGTGTCTAGTGTGTTGCATGGATGAACGGGGATGGATTGGATTGAAAGGCCATAATCCTTGGGGTACCACCTCAGATGGTCTTCTACAGAGATAGAAATGTTTAGAGTCATTGTTTTCTTACAGATGTGACTGTGGTTTATTAATCACTGCTGTCTTGATAGGATTTTATATTATTTGTAAGTTTATAGTCACAAATTGCTGCCACACCCTACCCATCATTCAGTGTTATATTTAAAGACCACAAGCATTTCTGTCATAATATCAAATCCACTGCTAAGAAAACTTTCAAGACTGCTTATTCACTAAAAATAGTGGGATTGTGGTGAAAAGAAAGCTCAAGGCAGACCACTCAAGACCTCTGCTATTTCAGACCAGAGAACACTAACAAAAGCATAATTGGTACCTTATGAGGTAAGGTGGGTCGCCCAGTCAAACCACTTATTGTGGCTAAGGCTGCCTGAGAGTAGAGTAAAGCTATTAAAGTGTGAGAGGGTGGAAAGTGCAGGCCTTGTGGTTGTGAGCCGTGGAGCTGCCCTAACTAAGCGTGGCTCAGGGGAAGTGCAGCTTGCGCTGCCAGGAACCATTCATGCACGCACAGGCCAGTCTGTGCTCCTCTGGGGAGGGAGCCCTTGTGCACACATTCACCTTTAATATTCCTGAAATGGAGCTGAAAGGGCCCTGGCCTGGTGGGAGCTGAGTTGGTTTGAGGTCATTGCCACCCAAATCCATAATTCTCTTCCCGTCCCGCCCTTGTTGTGTTGTCAGGATCGGAGTTGCTTATTTCACCTGGGAAAGTATTTGGTGCTGAAATTTGGAAACCGATTAGTTATGACTAATCTTTTTCCTAAAATTATTTGCTGGTGTTATTCTATTTTATGATTCACATTTTTTTTGAGATTAAAAAGAGGTAAAAATCTTTGAGTGTTGTCTTTCACTCCTCTGAAAATTTTGATAAACTAATATAAAATGAAATGCATGAGCTTTATATGTTCAGTAGATTGATCTTTGAGAAATGCAGAGGATGTAGCTCAGTGGTAGAGTACTTGCCTAGCCTGTGGAAAGCCCTGAGCCTAACCTCTAACAGCAACACCAAACACCAAAGAACACACACACACACATACACACACACACACACACACACACACACACACACACACACACACAACACGCACACACCCACGCACCTTTTGGGACTGGAGAGGTGGCTTAGTTGTTAAGAGCACTTACAATTCTTGAGGAAACCAACAACTATCTATAACTCTAGCTCCAGGGGACCCAGCACCCTCTTTTTGATTCTGTAAGCACCTGCACTCACATGTACACAGACTCCCTACCTCCTCCCAAGTTAAAAATAAAATGTAATTTTTATACAACTTTGTGACCTAGACTCAAGTCAAAACTGAACATTGCCATTATCACAGGAAGTTCCCTGTAATCCTCGTCTCCTATCAGTTCTCTCCAGATGACTATGGTTCAGAGTCTTACCACTATGAATTAGTGTTGTATGTTCTAGATGTTTTATCTAACTAGACTAGACTTTTCGGTCTGAGAAGTCCATCCTTGTTACAAAGTCTGTTTTTTGTTGTAGAGTAGTATTCCATTGTTGAATGTTAACAATTGGTATCAAGTTCAAACATTTGCATTGTTTCCACTTCTGCTAATTAGGAATAAAAGTCCTATGAACATCTGTGCACAGTGTTTTGTGGATACAGGGTTTTCATTTCCTTTGCATAATTACCTCAGTTGAAATCGATGGTTATGGAGTAGGTGTGTGTTTAATTTATAAGCAACTGTTAGCTTTTCAAAGCAGTTGAGCAGTTTTTCATTGCTTGCCAGCCAGCCAGAATCAATTGTAGTTATTCTCTTGGGTGCTAATGGTTTTCATTGTACTTTTAGCCTTTGTTTTTCTGAAGATTAATGATGCGTTTTAGCACCTCTTCACATCTCCATGGCTCTGTGTGTATCTTACTATGAAATGCACCAATATCCCTTCTACTCATAGAGTGTGGTTGAGAGCAAAATTTATGCAGGTCTTGAGAAGAAGCCTAGGCCTCTTCAGGCCCATTCCTTGTGGTTTCTTTGCGCAGCCATATCTAAAACACAGAATGTCTTGGAAGAAGGCGAACCAGCATTTAAAGGGGCAGCAGATCTTTTCCCATGAGTGGAGTTTTCTCCTAAAGTACTTGTCTAGCACTAACCCAAAACTACTAGTTTTTCATGGTGTTCTACACTTGTAATGTCTATAATGCCTTGTCATAGGCAAGGACCCCCTAGTATGAAGTTGAATAGGAGTAGGGATACCCTTACCTTGTTAATGATTTTAAGGATTTACCATTGAGCATGCTGGCTGTATGGCTTTATAGCCGCTCTTTACCAGACTGAGAAAATATTAGTTGACTGCTGTTATCAGTATCGGCTTTCAATCTGAGATGCTACACACACCTTTATTATCTTTTTCCTTTTATACTAATGTGAATTCTGGCTTTTTAGAAGTTACTTGGCTTGATGGGCTTCCCCTTCCACATACTGTTACATTAAATCTGCTGATATTTTGTGGAGAATGTTTGAAGCTGTGTGAAAAATAATGGTCTGTAATTTTCTATTCTGTAACATTTTAATTCTTGGCTTTGTGATGGCCTTGTGAGTAAGAAAATGCTCTCTTCTCCTATTTTCTGATATTTATTATATTTATTTAAGATGGTGTTTATCTTCTGTAATGTTTTGAATTCACTGGTGACTGGAGCTTTCCCCTTGGGTAGGTTCTTGATCATTTGGGTTTTATTTTTTTTTGTAACTGATTTTATGAAGGATTTTCTATTTGATCTGAGTTGTTGAATTTATTGTCATAACTTTTTTTTTTTTTTTTTTTTTGAGACAGTGTTTCTCTGTGGCTTTGGAGGCTGGCTGTCCTGGAACTAGCTGTTGTAGACCAGGCTGGCCTCGAACTCACAGAGATCCACCTGCCTTTGCCTCCCTAGTGCTGGGATTAAAGGCATGCGCCACAACGCCTGGTTTGTCGTAATGTTTTTAATAGTCTTTTTACATTTTTAACATCTGTAAGATTTGTAATGATATTCCTATTTCTAATATTGTTAGTAGCATTTTGTATTTTTTAAAACCTTTTAATAGCTATAATTATCTTCAAAGAGTCATTTTTGTTATTTGATCAAAGAGGGCAGGCTGCATGATATTTTTGTTGTCAAGAATTTTTTTAAGTGTGTATGGACTTAGCTTATGGTTAATCTCCTTGTCTTGTTTCATAATTGTTCAAGTTATGGGTTCTGGGGGGGCTGTTAGTCTGTGGCTATCGATTGTTTGTCTTCTCTCTTGGCTTTTGCTTTCTATATATAAAGCTTTGCTTGTTACATTACAGTATTTTTTGTAGCTTTTGTGCATCAAGAATCCTAGTTGTAAGTTTACTAACTAATCAGTGAGTTTTATTTCACCTTGAGTTTTAATTGTTTACAGTCACTTCTGCCTTATTTGTTTGTTTCTTTTTCTTTACTTGGCATATATTTCTGAACTTTGTTTTAGTCTTGTTTGTATAAATCTACCTAGAATAGCATATCTCAGGCTTGAGTGAATTTTTGTAAACATTTTATTATTTTTATGTGTATAGATGTTTTGTCTGCTTACATGTCTGTGCACCACATGTGTGCAGTGCCCATGGAGGTCAGAAGAAGGCATTAGATCCCTGGGAATGAAGTAATGAACTGTTGTGAGTTGCTATGTGGATGCTGGGAATCGAACCCAGGTTCTTTGAGAGAGCAATCTTAACTTCGAAGCCATCTCTCTAGTCCCTTAAATGAATTTAAACCACATATTAGTGTGATTATTGGTGTTTTCTTTGAATTAACCTTCCTTTTCCATTCAACCCATCTTCCTGCCTTCTTTCTATCTTTCTCCAACATTACCAGCCCCCACCTGTTTTCTTTAGCATTTCCATCCTGTCAGCAGGGAGTCTTCTGCACAGGCTTCCAGCTTTCACTTGTACCTGGCATCCCATGCAGGATGCATAAAATAGTTAAAGGTATTATCAGATCCCAATCAGAAACGAAGAAGCAGCGTTGACGGGTGAGCTGTTGGTGGCAGAGTTGTTGCTCTTTCTCTGTGTGATTAGGAGGTCTGAGGTATCCAGTTTGACCTCTTTCATACCATCCTTGGGGTTCAGACCTGCAGTGCATGCTCAGTAAATGTGCAATTTCAATTTCAGTTTGTCCTACCTGAGACTAGGGACATCTGGACTAAACTTTAGCGGTAAGTTAGTTTAAAGGATGCTACTCTGCCATTATTCTTAAAGTTCTTTGGTTCTTTACCTGTCTCTAACACTTGCTAATACCTCCCTCCCTGTTTTCAACAACACCCAGGGCTCAAATTCATTGCCTTGGTAGTACCAGTAATTAGCTTTGTTTCCCCTCCCCTCCCTTCTTGTATTTTTTCACAGGCAGTTGATTTTCTGCTGAAGGTAGTGGTTAAAACTTTTCTTCAGGGGCAAGACAGATGGTGGTTAAGAGCACAGCGGTGATGGCTCAAAAGCTTTTGTGACTCCAGGGCAGGCAGCATTATCCAAGCAGGAATGTTTCCACTTTGGTGCTCCTCCAGGAGGCACCCACCATATCCAGAAGACAGAGTGGCTGCAGGTGGTCCTGGCATGTCTGTCTCAGAAGGACAGCTACTTTCTGGGCGCCAGTTTCTCTTTTTGTGGGCCATGATGCTGCAGTGTCCTGCTTCACGAGGCAGCTCACATATCAGCTGTCTGTAGCACATGCTTGTAGCAGTGTTTTCTCTCTGCACCGTACTAGCATTTGTGATACTCTGAAGGCATTCAAATGGTTAACTATTTCCCCCTTTTTTTTTTTCCTAGGTCTTGATGCAGAACTTTACTATGTGAGAAATGACCTTATTAGTCACTATGCTCTGTCCTTTAACCTGCTAGTGCCCAGTGAGACGAACTTCCTGCACTTCACTTGGCATGCAAAGTCCAAGGTAAGAGAGCTGGCAGACAGCATGACAAGGTCACCCAGTCTCCATAGGCAAGGGCTATCCCTGAGGATGGGCCTTCCTCTCCAGGGAAGCGTCAGGGTGGTACACCGCGGAACACTGGGTCTTTTCAGGTTTTATGTCTTACAGATAGAGTCTTGAGCTTGTCTGCTAAAACTCCAGGGTTAGGTGGCCACCGGCTGGGTGGCCATCATCACATAGGACTGGGTCCTTTCAGGCCTTGCCAGCTCAGGAAGAGGAGGGTTGGATCTGATGATGACCTACTGTGCTGGTTGGAGGATGGGTGTGGGTGTGTGGGGAGAAGCATTACTGAGCTGGGTCTTTCAGGCATTCTTGATGACTTGGATGTAGTTTTTATGTTCACAGTGAAATCAAGCCTCCCGAATGTACTGCACTGAGCCCCCAGTAACCTTAGAGGCTGAATGTGGGGACTTAGCAACTTCTTCCCTGCTTTATTCATTGGTGATTTCTTCCATCTCTGACTGCCTAGGTTCCACCAGCCCAAAATTTCCCAGATTTGCCAAATGAAGCTGTTCCATCTGCTCCTCATTCCCTGCCCCCATTTGCCCTTGAACTGTTTGAAAGTGCGCTGAAAGCATCGAGTTCCTCACTCCTGAATACCTTAGTCTGCAGGACACTGGTGTTATTTATATAATCAAAGTACAGTTATCAGAATCAGGAAGTTTAATGTTCTAACTCACAGCACTCATAGTTCATCAGTTATCCTCAGTGTCTTTCTGACTAATGTCTTACTAGTTGATATTGCTTTAGTTTGTGTGAATCTGAAGTTTGCCCTGTCCATGTGTTTTAGCTGCTGAAGTTATTGGTAGTGAGGAACATGTCATGGTGGAAGCTAGCTTGGAGGGGTCTTCTATGAATATATGTGCTTGCAGGGTAAACACTAGAGGGGCCTGGTATAACTCTAATTATTCCATTATCTTGTAGACTTCCTTCCTTCCTTCCTTCCTTCCTTCCTTCCTTCCTTCCTTCCTCCCTTCCTTCCTTCCTTCCTTCCTTTCGACAGGTTTTCACCCTATAACTCTTGCTGTTCTGGAACTGCCCAAAGGTATAGTTTAAAAACATGCTCCAGTCAGATGTGGTGGTGCACACCTTTAATTCCAGCACTTGGGAGGAAGAGGCAGGTACATCTCTGTGAGTTCGAGGCCGACCTGGTCTACAGAGTGAGTTCCAGGACAGCCAGGGCCATTACACAGAGAAACCCTATCTTGGGGGAGGAAAAAGTGTATGTGCTTGTAGTGTGCAAAGTGCACTTAAATACTTCATGCTTTTGTGTAGTGCAGAGTTCTGAGCAGTGTGTCCTGGTAAAGGTTCTCTGTTCCTTGTGTTGGTTTGTGTGTTTTCCTCCTTCAAATAACTATCATTTTCTTGTATAGTTGTGTTTTGGTTTATTGATCATTTCCTGCAAGAGGAAATTGTGACCCAGGTAGTGAAGGACTTGCTCAAATGATTATGGAGGCAGAAGAAACAGGAACTAGAAGTGGCCTGAAATGAGCAAGAGTTAGGTATGGTGATGGGGTCTCTTGATCATTTGGCTCTGAGATGCAGTCATAAACTTTCAGAAGGAAGGCTGTCACTCTCAAATTTCCTACACTCTATCAGAAACTCAGTTTGGGCTTTTTAAGATCTTGCCAGAAAATGAAATATTTGTTTCTGAGGATCTCCAGGCTCCCTGGTATATCACTTAAGCAGCACAGATATTTTAACATCAGTTTTCCCCCATCAAAGCTTTTGCTGGTAGTGTTCTCTAGTGTTTACTTGACTGGTTTTGCCAAAGATTTTAGTTCCCTCAGAGGCTGGAGCTGTGTGTGTCTTTTTCTTAACATCTCTGTCACACGTGCCATAGTGAGTGGTTAAGAATGTGTTAATTGTATTTTAAGATGGGAGTAGAGCTCTGGTATTGATTCTCTCACAAAAGTAGACTACTAGGCGGTCTTAGCAGATAATTAGTTTCTTGTATGTTCCAGAAAATTCCCCAGTGTTCAAGAAAAAACATGCAACTGTGTCTGTTAAGTGTCAGTAGATACGCTAGATAGCCAAAAGGCAGAAACACACTAAGATGAGGCAGAAGACTCCCACCACCCACTCTCCTTGGTCGAAGTCCAGGAGAGTCTGCAGGGAGCTTGTCAGAGCTCCAGCAGCAGCCTCTGGAGGCCAGCCTGCTGTGTCCCAGTGGAGTGAAGTAGCTGTGAGAAAGACAGTGCTGGCAATTTCAGAGGAATTAAAAGGCTGTGGGACTGTAGGCAAGCATATCCACTTTAGCTCTGTGTTCCAGAAGGAGACGCTTTCCTCATCAGCTGCCTGCTCACATAGCCATGTGTTCCAAGTAAAGGGAAAATACCAAACATGTTTATTTTTTAGCTTATTCAAATATTTATATTTTCTCTAGTAACTTTTCTGAAGTATTTTGGCTCATTTATTTTCTGATAAACAACTGCTGTTCAGAGTTTTTTGTTTGGTAGTCTGTGATGCAGTTTCTAAATAGCTCTGTTTCTCCAAAGGTGATTGGCAAGTGGTGTTCCTTACAGATCAGTGCATGCAAAAGTAGAGAAAATTGGATTTCAATAATTGGCAGTCTTCTCTGACTCCAAAAACTACATTTAAAAATTAGGTATCCTAAGGACCCCAGTGGGAGGAGAGAGCTGCCTCCGATGCTTCCCATGTTCCCGGCCTGTCAAGAGAAGTCATAGGCAAAGGGCAGGCTTCCATGCTTCTTATTGTGGTTCCTCTAAGCTGCAGTTGATTTTGTTAGTCCTCTCCTCAGCCTCTTTGTCACCCCTACTTGTGTCCTGTCCTGCCCTGCCCTGCCCTGCCCCTCACTTTACCTGTCTCCACTTACAGCATCATTTCTTTTTCCTTTCTCCTTTTCCCTGTGGCTACACTGAGATAACCCTGCTACTACTCTTGTCCCTTGTCCTCAGCTCTACCATTAGAGTTCTTTGACTCCTTGGCTGTTTTCAGCCTTTGCTTTCCTAGGGGTTTTGGTTTGTGGGCAGCTCTTCCTCTGCTTATAATAACTGAGACTAACAGTAATGAAGACTGAAAGGTTTGGGGAGGGTGTTCAGGAGGGACAGTGCAGGAGACTGCTAGGGGGTAAGGCGTTTCTAGAAAAGCTGTTAATGTCATGGACAGACAGAAAGACAACAGTATGACAGGGGCCTCAAGGAGAGTTCAGGCCCTAGCACCAGAGACTGACAGCATGGCAGGGTCTCTGGAGAGAGGTATCAGAGCCCATGTGATAGAGGTGGGGTCTCATTTTTATATCTGAGGATGGGGAGAGGCAGCAGGATGTGGTACTCACTTCCCAGGTGAGAGATCCTGGCTCCAGAGTGTCTTTTAGCTAGGAAATCACAGACAGTGTCTTTGTGCCTGCCTGTATCTGAGAGGAGACTGCTACAGATAGTGGCCTGAGCAGAGGGTGGATTCTAGCACGGCTTTCTACAGAAACTTTGTGCGTTTGGTGAAAAGGGAAGCTCAACTCTGAATCTCTTAAATTTGAGACTGTAGGGTTGGTTATAAGGTGGACATGCCTAGTAGGTAAAGGAGAGTCAGAGACAAGTTGAGATCTCATCCGTGGTGAAAGGGCTTGGAACCTAGCATATGGGAAGGAGGATTTATCCTTGACAAAGAGGCTGGAGCTTTCCTTGGGACCAGAGTGCAGAGGGTGGATGTTCTGACAGATCTGCCTGATGCTGGAAAGGACAAAATTTTTTTTCTGTGCTAGCTGAATGTGAAGAAGCGGGGAAGGCAGTGTGTGTTGCACCAGGAAAGACTGTCAGTGAGGTTGAAGATGAGCAGCCATTGAGCACAGGACTGAGGGTGGGATCCGCATCATGTGTAAACACTGTTCTCCAGGGTATCATTCCCCCAGCAAGCTGAGCCAGGGGCAGTGGGACTGCAGGGGTGGCCATCCCAGTGTGTGGAACAAGGAGTGAACCAGCTGAAGGTGTCAAAACGATGGTGTCAGTGATGCCCCTGCTGGGGCATAGGCTGTGGGAACATGACACCAAGTGGTCCTGGCTATGCTGGGAAGGAAGGAAGGAAGGAAGTAGTTTCATTGACCACTGCCTTCCCCCTCTATAAGCACAACCCTTAGCTCATAAACATGCCTCATAAATGTTGTCTGACTTATAGTAGTGAACACAAAGAACTGCTTTTGTAGGGACCAGAGGTGGGTGGTCAGAGGTAGTGCTGGGATCCTGGATGGAATGGACAGTATTTTTGTATCTGTTTTGGACATGGAGAACTTGAGTAGTATGTCAGAATGAACATTGCATTTCAAAGTTACAGGAAGATGGCAGGAGACAAAGTGAGCCAATCGTCAAAACCTCTGTAAAGTCCTGTGTGTTAGCGTGTGGATGGCATGAGCCATGCCACCGTGAGTGGAAGTGAGCTTCAGAGTAGAGGGGGTAATTTCACGTAGGACATCTAGAGAGGACCTTAGAGCCTTAAGGGGATACTGACCCCACATGTAGACCCAGGTCAGGTGTAGGAAATAGACATCAGGAAGAAGAGGAGGATGCTTGAAGGGAAAGCCATGTTTGAGGGAGAACACAGGAAGATTGCCCTGAAGATATTGAGAGTATGAGAGGCTGTCCAGAATCCCGAGGTTTGTGTGAGAATCCCTGGGGTTGGCAGGACGCTGGTCATTTCTGAGAAGTGTAGCTTGGCAATGGGAGAGGCTGCTAAGGCCTCTGGCCTATAGTTAGCAAAGGGCCCTGAGCCAATGTCACAGGTGTGTTATGTTGTCAGCACATTTGCTCCTCGTGTTAAATGAGTCTCATTTTCTAAAAACTGAAGTTTGGAAAAGTTTGCTTTTTTGTGTAGGTCACATGGCTTCATGGTTCTAGATCCACGCTAATTTCCTTCATGCATGCTCCCTGGCTTTATGGTCCTATTCAGAGATCACTTTGGCATAACGATGCAGTCATCCTCTTCAAGGGTACCTTAGGGATAGCTCTCTAGCACCCCTTGGTGGAGTCATGGTGTTGTGGTGAGCTAAATAAGAGAATGAATGCTTCCTCTCCAAGGTAACAGTAAATCACTGGCTATATCATTGTTGTCAGAAAGACTTGTAGATTTTAGGGGAAAGGTTGGTCCTGTTTTAGATACCAAATAGCCTTCAGGTTGAATTTTTATCTGATTGAAAACTTCTAGTATAATTTTAGCTTTACTATTTTTATTTACTTCACATTTATTTATTTATTTAGAGCAAAGGTCTCACTTTGTAGCCTTGGTTGGCCAGGAACTCACTATATAGACGAAGCTGGCCTCAAACTCAATGAGATCCACCTCCCTCTGCCTGCTGAATGCTGGGATTAGAGACCTGCTCTTTGGAATTTTTTGGTAGTGGGATTGTTTGTACCTGTGAATAGCTGATGTACTACTTAATGAGCTCATTAATGAAGTTCCCTTCTGTGGTCGCAGGTCCAATGTTTTTATCTCTTCATTTTACAGGTTGAATATAAGCTGGGATTCCAAGTAGACAATTTTGTGGCTATGGGCATGCCCCAGGTCAATATTTCTGCTCAAGGGGAAGTCCCACGCACTTTATCAGGTGAGCCAGCTAAGACAGACTTAGCATACTGCTTTCAGCCATCTCTCTCATATCCCTACAAGGACAGTTTACTGAGTGCCTGGCTTTGAAAAGTGCTTTAGTGAATTCTGTTGTCTTTTTTAGAACAGTCTTTGCTTAGCTCATCCTTGGCTCCTTTTCTGTGTTGCTGGCGTCTCCATCTGAGTCCCTGCCTCTGCTCTTACTGCTTTTGGTTAAAGTCCCACCTGCTACCATTGGCTTGGGTGACATCTGACCACAGGGCATCAAAGCCTTTAGTGCTTCCTGCTCCAGTCAGCTGGCTCATCTCAGACTTCTCAGCTTTTCCCTGTGCCCATTACCACCTGCCGTTGGCCATTCCCCAGCACCTTAAGAGTCCAGTCTGTGTTCAGTTCTCACACCCAGGCCTTTGCACACGCACCAGCGTTGCAGCAGTTCCAGTTTGTATTTCATTTTCACACCCAGGCCTTTGTACATGCTGGCCTCAATTTGGAACCATCTTTCCCTTATTTCCGCTTGTGAATTTCCATCTATCAATTCTGTAAGATGCAAAGTCTACACCACCCTTTTCCTGTTCTGCCTCCAGTTGTTAACTCTTCTGTGCTTCCTGCCCATACCTACATGCGTGTAACTGTTGATAAACTTGTTATAGGATCTGGTGATTCCTTGCCCAGCAGTGGGTATGCAATAGGTGCTCAGTTTGTGTCTGAATAAATGGACTGAGTGTTTTATTTCCACCACCCTCACAGCTTGTAAGCAGACCCTTTGAAAGATGTCCTGGGTCATTTTCTGTTGCTGTCATAAACCCCTCTTGGGGAGGAAGGGGTTTATTACAGCTCTCTAGAGTCCATTCTCCAGGGAAGTCAAGGCAGGAACCTGGAGGCAGGAACTAAGACAGAGACCATGGAGGAGTGTTGTTTATTGGCTTGCTCTCCATGAATTTCTTATACAACTGCCCATGGCTGGCACGTCCTACAGTGGGCTGGGCCTTCCTCCATCAATCGTTAATTAAGAAAATACCTCACAGGTGTGCAGTCTGATGGAGGCAGGTCCTTGGTTGGCGGTTCCATCTCAGGTGACCCTACTTTGTGTCAAGCTGATAAAACTAAGCAACACAGAAAGGCTCTAGGACATGGAGATTTTAAGGTGAATGGTGGTGATGATGATTTTAAAGTTTTACTCACTAATTGAATTCACTTACTCACTCATTCTTAGTGGCACATATTAATCTAGAAGATTTAAAACAGTGCTGGCTAATTTTTGTTGGTCAGCAAGGATGTTCAGAAATGCCTAAATCTCTGATTTACTCATATAAATGGTGAAATAATATCTTCTTGATTTGTAGGAAAGGAATCTTAAACTAAAAGATAAAAAAAGTTACTAAAATCTACTTTTTCATCATTAACATCACTAGAACTACTTTTAATAGCTAATCCTATTTAGAAGGGCAGTGTTATTTTAATTCATAGCTGAGAATTTGTCAGTTTCATTTATAGGTTTATTATAATTTATCCCAGTACAATGTCTTTATTTCCGAGGGGTACTTATGAGTAATTACTATTGTATAAGATAATTTTTAAATGTGACTACTAAATACACATACATATTTTCCACAGAGAGTACTTCCACACATGTTCTTACTATACATATGTTTGTCATTGGTGGTGTGCTAATGTATGTATTTGCGTATCTGTGTGTCATAGCTCTAAGTCCAACAGGAACTCTCCTGCCACCCAATTCAGTGTGGCTTTGGTTTTCCCCCATTTTGTTAGCCGAACAAAAGGATACCCCTGCTATAGGAATATGGTGATGATATGTTTTATTTTGGGCATCTCATGTCTGCCCTGCAGACCGCAATGCATATTCTACCTTCCTGACATTTACATCCTTCAAATTATATAGGAGCAATATATAATTGCATTTGGTACCGCATAGTCTTTCCTTTTATTTATCCTGTAATTTTGTTACTGTTGCTCGTGAGACTGGTAAGGTCAGCAGTGTTTTCCTTATGGTTCTGTAGCTTTAGTATATTGGAAAGCAGAACGTATAAGACAAACTAGCATGTTCAAATTCACAGGCAAAGCTTGACAGTAATTGTCCCTTCGTCTCTGTTGCTTTTCTCTTCAGCACTCTTCCTTATCTACATGGAGGAAACAGAAATGTCCAGAGCTGTGGTGATGTGGTCTCAGAGCTCTCTGGTCCACTTATTTAAATGTGTTTGTTTGCTTTATTTGAGAGCAGATTTTTAGGACACTAAAATATTTTCTCTTATTTCTTTTAACAGTGTTTCGGGTTGAACTTTCCTGTACCGGCAAAGTCGACTCTGAAGTTATGATACTAATGCAGCTCAACCTGACAGTAAATTCTTCAAAAAACTTTACAGTTTTAAATTTTAAACGAAGGAAAATGTGCTACAAAAGTAAGGAATTTATTTAACAGAGTGTGTTTTGTGTAAATAAGAGGTCTATAGAATATTGTATTGTTTGTTTACAGACTTAACTATAAACAAGTCTTTATTGTAGTTGTGAGAAAAGGGAAGCATACTAGTAGATGAAATTCTGGGGTAACCCCAGATAGTGTGTAGCCAGGATCTCTCTCGGCCACACTCAGCTCTGTGGAACTGCTTGAAAGATTCCATGAGGAGTGTGAAGTGGAGCCTGTGTGGCTGAAGGGTAAAGAAGGAAGACAAACCCCACAGAGGCCATGGAGCAGCTGTGAGCTAAGCATTTGCTCAGTGAACTTGGCTTCTGCAGGAGCTTCACTGTGTGTGTGGGGGGGTGGGAGGGTAGGCGGAATGTCTGCGGGAGTTTCACTTTGGGGGGTCACGTGGGCCTGCTCTTCTCAGGATGGGTGAATTGTTATTACACCTTTGTGAGACTCAGGTTCTCATCTGTAAAATATGCATGATGCTGTTTCAGAGAGGGTTTAAAGGATAATTAAATCTAGCCTAGAATTAGAGTGTCACATGTGGGTACTTAATAATAATTATTTGTTAGGGATTTGAATTATATTGTCTATTGCTCAGGAAATCACCACAGATACAGTGATTTCTAGCATACCAACGCTGAGTTTTGAAATTTTAACAATTCTACAAGGTTATCTAATTTCCATGTAGCACAGAGATAGAACTTGTAAATTTACAAATAGGTAGAACTGTTTACTGTTTAAGGTAGAAACAAAACAAACCATAAACTCAATGGATGCTTTTCCATGGTCTGCACTCGTTACATGCAGTAAACCCATGTATCCTTACGTCAGTTCTAGGTAACCTGGCCAGGCTCAAACAAAGTGCTGCAGCTGAGAGGCCAACCTGTGTTCTTGGTTTCTTTGTGAAACTGTTTATTTGCAAACTTCCCAGTGGAAATTAGTGCTGGGTCTTATTCAAACACCCAGGGTCAGCAAAGTGAGTTACAGTGGCAAATGTCAAGACACATGCCAACAAAGAAACTATATTGCATTGAAAAGAGACATTTTTTAAAATAAAAAAATTATCACCCTTATCTTTAGTGCAGTTTTAAGTTGCTTTGGTGTAAGTTTAAAGCCTAAGGGGATTGTAGAGGCTTTACTGCAACTTGCCTTTATGTGATTGGCATGAGGACACTGGGCCTTGAAGAGGCCACCTAGACTTGTATAACTAGTCAGGATGGATGGATGGATGGATGGGTGGATGGGTGGATGGATGGGTGGGTGTGTGGATGGGTGGGTGTGTGGATGGATGATGGATGGATTGATACTAGGGTTGGACCCAGGGTGTACTAGAAGAGTGATTTACCACTGAGTGTATCTCAAACTCTATTTTAGCAATTTTATTTGAGACAGGTGCTTGCTAAGTTACCCAAGCTGGCCTTGAACTCACTATTTAACCAAGTCATGCCTTGAACTTGTGATCTTCCTGTATCAGCCTCTTTGGTAGTGAACATTAATGTGTTCACTACCATGCTTGACTTCTGAAAACTGTTCCATTTTAGATTTAATATATACCACTGTCTTAATTTGGTGGTCATAGCTTGCCCACTTTAATCAGCTTTTTTCATGACTCTAATATGTGATCCTATTGTATTCATCTGGTTTCTAGCCTATGGCACGTAAACAACTGCACTAGCAAGCACATCTGTGCTGTGTGGAATGCTAAGAGCTGTTACTCCCTAGAAGTTTCTTTATCTTAGTGGTAGAGTTAGGGTCAGGATTTTTCATCCTTTAGAAATCTAGATCCTTTCTGTTGAGCTGGTTGTGCCAAGAGTTTCCATGAAGACAGTGTAAGTTTGTGGGTTTCTCTACACTCTTGACCACAGAAACCCATTTCATTGGGAGTGGACAAGTAACTGGCATAGGCTGTTTATCTACTGGTGATTGCACTGATGACTATTAGAATGGCATAGTAGTTTTCATTATCTTACAGCGAATACCTGTGACTGAGCTCAGTGTTCAGAAAATGTGCTAGTATATAAGGATTCTTATGAAAAACAATTTCTGAAGTACTTTTTATTTCCCTTTTAATCCAGAACTTGAAGAAGTAAAAACTTCAGCCTTGGACAAAAACACTAGCAGAACTATTTGTAAGTGCCACTGTGTTTGTTATCTTTCTCCATCACGAGACTGAAGCAGTGCCTGAGTGCATGTGGACATGCTTGCATGACAGTGGAAGCCTGCTCCAGTGTGGTGTCAGTTTGCTGTCTATTCTGCTCTGTTCTGGAGACTGATACATAGATCAAGTGAAGCTGATTGGGTATTGAAGATTGTGAGAATTCAAACTTGCCTCTTTTATAGAACTAACAAACTAACACATACTTTTTAGAAGCAAAAATTTATATTGTGCTTTTTCTCAGATAGGCCCAATAAAGGAACAAATACTAAAAAATATGTTTAAGACCTTCAGTAGCAGAGTGTTAGGGAATCTGATTCATACCCTGGGCCTAACCTTTAGCTAATTTCATCTGGGTGAAAATGCAAATTTATGTTATTTATTTTATATTTTATTTTGAGAGAGAGAGAGAGAGAGAGAGATGACCTAGTTGGTAAAGTGCTATGCAAGCACGAAGACTTGTTCAGATTCCTAGCACCCATGTAAATGGCGGGAGCTGCAGTACCCTCATGAAACTCCAGCACCATGTGGCACGGGAAGGTGGGGGTGGTGGAGGGGCAGAGATAGGCAGATCTGCAGAGCCTTCTGGACAGCCAGCCTAGCCAGTCAGGAGTTCCAGGTGTGGGGAGAGATCCTGTCTCAAAAAGGAAACAAGGAAATGATAGAGGAAGATACTGAATGTCAAATTCTGGTCTCTATACTTATGCACACACATATAAACACCTGCATATAACACACATACACATACCAAGAGAAAGAGATACAGTGACAGAGACATAATACACACAGTGGGAGGAATAGGACAGCTACACAGACTAACACTCACTAGTTCAGCTTGGCCTGGAGCTCCGTATGTTGTTAAATGTCATCTTGAGTTTCTGATTCTTGTTTCTCTGCCTCTGGAGTGCTGGGAATTAAACTCAGGGTTTCATACATGCTAGGCAAGCACTCTACTAACCTATACTCCCATCCTAAGTTTATATTATTTAAGCACACAGAAGAAATTTTACTACATCAGTTAAATTTATTTATTTGTTTACTTTTGGTATTGATAATATTTAGACACTATTTATAGGCTTCTTTTTTCTCTTATGAACACATTGAGTTTTTCACTTCCTCAGGTGATATTAGTATCAGATGATATTTATAGAAATAGACAAGATTTCCAGGGAGAGTTGCAAGTGTATGGAAGTTCCGAGTATGCACTGGTGTTCATGCATGTCTTAAGTAATGATTATATGTACCAGTGTTACTCCATACATTACTGCTTCCAGTTTGGTGGGCTAGGGTAGTTAACGTGTCTTAAAGCACACTCCAAACATCACATTATTTTACTTCTAAGTATTTCACTGTAAGTCACTTAAAAACCCCCTTACCCAACATACACTCATTTTGATTCATCACATATAGTAAACTAGAAGAAATTCCTTAGTAACTTCTGTTGTGTTCAAGTTTACCTAATTGTGCCTAAACCATCTTTCTATAGTTCCCTTCCTTAGGAACTAAATGAAGCCTATACACAGTGTGTTTAGTTAATATATATTTTGTGTTCACCAGAAACACCCCTTTATTAATTGATGAAATTGTGTCTTTTTTTTTTTTTGTCCTATAGAATTTGCCTAAGTATATATCCTTCTTGTGTTATTTAACCTGCTTTTAACTCTTTCTCCTAATTGGTAGTTAAATTTTGAACTTGATTAGACTTAGGATCACCTCTTTTGGTAAGAATACTTCATGAGTAGTCCATGTGCTTCTTATTTATCTTCTTAGCACCTCAGAGCACGAATTATCTGTCCCAGAGTAGGCCTTTTTTTTAAGGCAAAATGTGAGAGATTATGTACTTGCTAGACTGTTTCCTTTAATTTATCTCTGAGAAGGAAGAAAAGAAAAATGTAAATGCCACTGTTTCCCAAGTTTACTTAAGAAATTCCATTAAAAAAATAATAAAGGCCAGGAAGTGGTGGCACACTGGCCATTAATCCCAGCGCTCAGGAGGCAGAGGCAGGTGGATCTCAGTGAGTTTGAGACCAGCCTGGTCTACAAAGCAAGTTCCACGACAGTTAGGATTGTTACACAGAGAAACCCAGTCTCGAAAAACCAAAAAAAAAAAAAAAAAAAAAAAAAAAAAAAAAGAAAAGAAAGAAAGAAATTCTGGTGCTTTTCTTAACACTCATAGGGTATTTCTCAGTTAGAGCAGTATAGAATGTTCTTGGCCCCTCTCTCTTCCTTCCATCTTTTACCCCCTCTATTCAACATTTATTGAACCTACAATGTACAGAGTGATAGTACTGAGGCAGAGGATAGAGCTGAGCACGCAGCGCCAGCCTTTAAGTGCTTGGAGTGTCCCAGGGGATGGAACAGACATCAGGTGGTGATGGCAGCCCAGCATGGTTGGCTGAGAGATCCGGAGAGCACAAGGGGCTTTGGAACCCTGGGGTGGGGGTGGAGGGACATAACCTCCTCTGAAGGATAGCCAGCAGCTGTCTAAGGAAAGTGCCCGAGACCTGTAGGGCGGCTGGGTTCTGGCAGCTGAACAAGTGGGGAATAGGAGCAGCTATGCATGCTGAAAGCTGAGTGGCTGGACAGAGTGCACAAGGACAGCATGCCCAGCCGACTGTTCTGCTCTGGCCACCACTTGGGTCACATTGTCCACAAAGGCTTTACGACTTTTCCACCTCTCCCAAGACTTTACAACTCGCCCTTGGCATGCAGAAACTCTTGAGAGTCTTGTCTTCACTTAGGCCACAGCTGGCCATCCCACTTAATCTCTCGGATTAATCTTTTTTTTTTTTTTTTTTTTTTCTCAAAGTTTAATTGTTTGGTTGTTGGTTTTTGAGCAAAGTCTTACTGTGTAGCACAGGCTAGCCTCAAGCCCAGAATCCTGCCTGACCTTCCCGGTGCTAGGATTAAAAGCTTGTGCCACCATGTCCAGCTTGGAATTTGAATTTTTTGTTTTGTTTTGTTTTTCAAGACAGGGTTTCTCTGTGTAATAGCCCTGGCTTTCCTGGACCAGGCTGACCCCCAACTCACAGAGATCTGCCTCTTATTATGATAAAGCTTGAGGGGGACCTTGGTGGATTCCATGGCAGGCGAGGTTGACCGAGACAGAGGACAAACATGCCAGGCAGATAGAGCTTAAGTGAGAAGTTTTGTAAGAAAGGGAAGGAGGGGGGAAGGGAAGAGAAAAGAGGTAAAGAGACATAGAGACAGAGAGAGGACAGAAGAGAAGAGGGAGACAGGAAAAGTCCTGTCTTCCCCAGGGGAACATCAGGAAAGAGTGGAAAAGAGGGGAGGGCAGGGGAAAGAGCATAAGTGGGCAGGGATCTTTCTTTTAAAGGAGTTCTTTGCACCTGCGTGCAGACTGTGAAACCATGGGACCCTGGACTGACATGGTACTGCCCGAGTGCATTCTGCCTGGTAACAGGGTCAGGCCAGCATAATGCCTGAATCCCTACACCTCTGCCTCCCAAGTGCTAGGATTAAAAGTATGCGCCACTGCTGCTAGGCAAGTTCAAATTTTTGAAAACAACCGTCTTTTTCCTTTTACTGTTTTTAAAAAAATATGATGTTTTTAGTTATACTTCAGGAATTTCACATATGTGTATAATGTGTTTTCATCATTTCCACCCTTCCCTCATTCCTACTGGTTTCCCTACCACACAAGCCCCCAACCCCTTTTAAAAACTATAACTTTAATTTTTTTTGACCTGACCTATTCCATATTTCTATATCTTTCTTTTTAAACGTGTGTGTTAGTGTGTGCATCTGTGTGTGTGCACATGGGCATGCACATAGTACACTTGTAGAAGTCAGAGAAGAATTCAAGAGAGTTGGTTCTCATTCTTGTTTGAGTCAGGGTCTCTCTTGTTTCTGGAATATACTATGTACTGTATTGCTGGACATAAATACACTATGTACTGTATTGCTGGACTAGGCTTGCTGGACATAAACTTCTGGGTGATTCTTGTGTCCCTGCCTCCCACCTTGTTGTAGGAGTTCTGAATTAGAAGTGTACACCACCGTATCTGACCTTTTATGTGGGTTCCAGGTTAGATGGCCAGTCTTGTGCAGCAAGTCCGTTATGCACTGAGCTGTTTCCACTACCCAGTGCTTGTCTGTTTTTTAATTTGACATCTCTACATCATAATTTCAAACTTAACTTTACACAAGGAAAAAATGTCCGAGAATTCTCAACCTCCTCCAACCTATTTCATTTATATCTTTGTAAAGATAGCATCAAGTGATTGCTTAAGCCAAAGCTTTGCTTCCTTTTCCTTTGGGCCTTATAAGGGTTGTGACTCTGCTTCACATCTACTTACTCCCTGCTTTTACCCACTCTCTCCAGCAAAGCCACTGTAGCCTCTTCCTGGGACGACCCTCGTAGCAGTAATGTCATTCCAGCTTCTGCTCTTCTCCCTCTGCAGCTGGTTCACCCAGCATGCAGTCATTAGACCACAGCAAGGGTCTCTGCCTTGCCTGATGCCTTGTAGTGATTGCCCATCTCACTTGGGATAAACTCCAAATCCCTTGGGTACTTTTAAAATAGGATTGTGGTGTATTTCACATCTGTTGAAACATCTGCAGCTCTATCTCACCAGTTTTGCTCATAATATGTGTACTTTTGTCCTTATGAGCCCCTTCAGTTTGCCTTCTGCTGTCCTCAGATCAGCCTTGGAGGAAAGGAGGAAAGGAGGGAGGGAGGGGGAGAGGGAGGGAGGGAGGGTTGGTTGTGTGTATGATGTACTCTTTTTGTGTATTGAATTACTTTTACTATTTTCAAGGTGTTTCTTCTCTTAAAATAACATTAGCTGGGTATAATTGTATTTAATCAATAGAACCTTTTAAAAAGATTAAAAGAAGCAGAATAATATTTATTGATCAAAAGAACTGTGCTGTTTGCCCAGCAGGTGACTATTAGCTATATGCAGCCTCGAAGCTGTAAATTTTTAACATGATATAAGATAGAATATGGCAAAGTTACTCTAGTTGTTTTTCATGCCACAAACCTAAGGTGGCAGTATTCCATTTCTGGTATATTCCATTTCTCTGTTTCTGTAAATATGCTGCAGAACGTTGCTTTACTGGAAAACATTCTGTGTGACAGCTCGGCTATATATCCTATGTACTGGGGGTATTTTGTATATACCACTTTTGAGGGACTATGGTTCTCATTAACCAGAAATTGTATATAAAGTCTTTTCTTAAAACTATAACAAAAACACCAAAATTTGTATAAGCACCACACTGTGGGAATGATTTTATCAAAGAATGAGTGTGATGGAATGCAGGCCTTTCTGAGGAACGGGGTACTCATTGTGTTAGGACAGAGGACGCCATCAGCTTTGTTTAAAAAGCCTAATGTGCTTTTCATTTTTGTTTCAGATGATCCTGTACATGCAGCTCCAACTACTTCCACGCGTGTGTTTTATATCAGTGTAGGGGTTTGTTGTGCAGTAATATTTCTTGTAGCAATAATATTAGCCGTTTTGCACCTTCATAGTATGAAAAGGATTGAACTGGATGACAGGTATTGTACATGTTTTGGGAAAAGAAAAAATAAAATCAGTTGCTTGCATGTGCATGAGTGCCCCCCTACCCCCATCTAAACACACTGGTGCAGGGAGGAGGGAGCATGATCAGGCCCTAGCCAAAAAGGAAAAATAAGATGCCTTGGTTACTATCTGTATGTTTTTGTCTTTTAAATTTTGTGGAATTATAACCTGGGGAGAAGTAGAGGTCAAATGTTTTTCATCTCCATTATCCTGACTCACCTCCAGACTCCAGTTGCTTTTTTGAAACTGCTCCTTTCCTTCCTTCTAGTTCCTCCCAACCCCTCCTTTTATCCCTCCTCCCACCTGCCTTCCCTCCCCACTCCCCACTTGAGTATCTGCCATTCTTTAAAGTTTCCTGGATGATCCTAATGTACAGCAAAGTAGAGATACCCTGGGTAGATAATCACACTAAATGTTGGGATTACAAAGATTAATGACACACTTCGTGGTATGAAGGTTCTTTGATGTTAACCCATAATTACAGTATAGAATCGATGATTGAGATGTGTATAATATAGTGTGGGAATACAGAAGGTGCCTGCCTAACCTGCATGAGTCAGAGATGACTCTATAGCCAGAATGCAGTGAGAGGTAAAGATGGAATGGTAGATGTGTGCTACCACAATCCTTCGTGACTCCTGCACACCAACTAAAGACATTCTCAGCACTGCATTTGACTTGGAACTTCGAACCCTTTCTGCCTCTCTTGTTGAATCCTTCCTTGTGCCTTGTCTGGTGATTCCTTAGCTCACCGTGTGCCCTGCACCTTGCCCTTCATAGCTTTTGTTCATACTGGGGCCATGGGGACTTCCTGCCAATCCAAACCCATAATTCATACTCCAGATCTATCACCATCTTTCCCACAACAAAAATGTAAGCTTTTTCCAGGCAGAGAGCAGTGTTTCCTCTCTCTGAACTCTCAGTCCTAACACTGTATGGTAGACCCGTGAGGTAAACATTCCTTTATAAACAAGATCTGGAAAGGTTGAGGAGCAGGTTGGATCATGTGCTGCTCAGTATGTTGTCTCCCTCCATTTTGCTCTTGACCTTCCTTGAGTAGAGAAAGAAGAGAGAAGTGATGAGAATTCGATGGGACACGTGCGGGTGCCCTAATTAGCTTTTCTGTTGCCATGGTAAAACACTCTGACCAAAACCAACTTAGAGGAGGAAAGGCTTTATTTCATTTTACACTTTCAGGTCACAATCTGTCACTAAGGCAGGAACCTGGGGCAGAGTGTCTGTCTTCCCCAGAAATGGGTCTGCCACTATTCTCTTTGTGGCCTCCCTGTTAGAGATTGGGAAATCAATTATTTGTGCATGAGATGCTTGGATGTGTTATTTGACAGTATTTTCTTTTCTACTTTCCACTTTTTCCAGCACCCCACTACCCTCACCATTACCAGTGGCAGAGTGTTCCTGTTTTTCTTGTATTTGTTTTTACACTTAGTATTGTAACAGAATGGCATATATAGTAATATACAGAGTCCTAGAGTTTCTTTGTTTTCTTTTTCTTTGAGTTTGTTTCTCTGTGTATCCACCACACCCAGCTTAGAGTATCTATTGCTATGATAGGACACAGTGACCAAAAGGATTTGGGGAGGAAAGGGTTTATTCCAATTGCTAACTCTCAGGTCACACTCAGTCACAGAGGGAAGGCAGGGCAGGAACTGATGTAGAAACCACCTAGGAACAAGCACTGCTTACTGGCTTGCTCAGCCTGCTTTCTTAGACACCCTGGGCCCATCAGTTCGGGGATGACACCACCCACTGTGAGCTGGACCTTCCCACTTGGGTCGTTAATCAGGAAAATGCTTCTCAGGCTTGCCGCAGGCCAGTCTGATGGGAGTGTTTTTTCTCAGTTGACTCCTCTCTTGCTTGACAAAAAAACTGTCCAGGACACTCAGCAGCTCTTCTGAATGATGAGTAGAAACAGAAAAGTCAATGTACTACACTAAATAATTCCTTTTTCATCATGTATCAGCAGCTCATGTCAGAAGCAAGCATTCTACTTTGTGTATATCTGGCTTCTCTTTCACTAAGTGGTTAACTCACTGTGATTTGGGCTCCCATAGGGGCCCATCTTGGCTTACTGTGCTAGGCACTGGTGTAGATATTGGAGAGGGCTGGCTGTTCCCATAGAGTTAGTCTGCCTCGATGAGACATTCAGCAAGAAGTCCCAACTGTAACATAAGGTGGGAAACTACATTGTGTTCACTGCTGTGTCCTTGGCAGCCAGAGCAGCAGGTATCACCTGAGAGATACTTGATAAATATTTATTGAATGAATAGATAACTCACTAAAAATAGAGTAAGAATTTAGTATTTTGAAGAGCTTTGTCTAAATTCTTAGCTTATCTTAAACTTATACTTATGAAAATCAAATTTATTTAGACAAGTCCTAAACTATTAAATGTTAGTAAGTACATATTTTAATCTGTTTTCTACATCTTGTGATGTAGCTATGAAGGTATGGGCTTTACAGGGCCTCAGGGGCAGGTCCTTGCTTTCCTCATAACAGTAAGTTTTGGGTTCCAAAGAATGTTTCTTTCTCTATCTACTATTGCTTTGCTCATTTCTTTCTTGGACATTCCCCCCCTACCCCCCCCCACCCCCAATATCTGTTAAGGAAATGAAACTTTGACCTAGATAGCCCTAAGGCTGCTTGACTGCTTAAACATTTTTAGGTAACTCAGTAGTGCCACCTACTGTTCAGTTGTTGAAGTTTATTCAGCCATAGATACCGTTGCTTGCAGGGCATATTTGTTGAGCTTTCACATATAACATAAATTTGAGCTTCACAGAAATCCCGTGAGGTAGGTTTCCTCGCTCCACTTCTGTGGAGGAATTCCTCATCTGCTTCCCCTTTGAGATGCAACCCTCCCCCCCTCTGCACTGAGTGCTGAACTTTAGCAAATTTGACTTGTAGTGAGGTCCTTGAGAAGTACTAAGCAAATGTACCCTGTCGGCCCTTATATCCTAAGGTTGGGGATGTGATGGGTAACTATAAATGTGTGTCTAAGGACCAAGCAGTATCCTCAGTGCTGTACTTAGACATCTTCCATGGAACCCTGTTAACAGTCTTGTTGGGAGTAGCTTGATGTGTTCCTTCTGTCCCAAAGAGTTTGAGGCTCCCAAAGGTTCGAATAGTTTGCCTGAGCTGTGTAGCTGGTGGTGCTCGAAATTATGATTTAAGGGTTTATGTTCTCCATTTGCTTATGAGCAACTACATATGTAAACTCACATAAATCACTACTTAATAACTTCCAGAACTCTGACCACATGATGTCCTGACAAATCTTTGTTATACTCTCTGAGTTGAAAGTCCTTTCAGCATAGTTGCTTGGAAACAAAGCTGACTGCAGCTCACAGAAAGATAGTGATCTGAAATGTGAGCATCTCCAGGGAAGGCATGCTGAGGGCATCCTATTAGACACAGGCATTTTCAGATGGAGGATGTGCTGAGCAAAGTGGCTTATGTATACAGATGATCTCCAAATGTTTATCGGAGAGCACCCCTATCTCAGTACAGTGGGTAATTCTAAATTGCATTATTATCACTAAAAGTCTACATAGAGCTTGCAGTACTCATTGCGTGGATGTTTTATGTCTTTACATTTTTTCACATGCATGTTTGGGCTCCTGAAATTGATAAAATACAAATTCATGTGTAAGTGTTCCAGATTATATGGCAGTTGATTACCAGTTTCATTGTAATCACTAGGTTTTAGAAATACAGTGAGTGAAAAGGTACAAAGAGCAGTCAGTCCATATGTAGGAAATTTGGAGCCTCTGATGGGCTCCACTACCTCATTAGATGCAGGAGTCCTATGTAGCTGTCTGGTTTTACTCTCTATGCTGAATCTCTGCTTTACTTCTCTGAGGCTACAAAATTAAAAGAAATAAAGGCAGTAAGATCAGGATGTGCCCAAGAGTGACCTGGGACAAGGTTGCTGCCCACTGAAAAGATGGAAGAATGTATTTGGAAACTATTGATTTATAGTAATTACAGACACCTGGTTAACAACATTTGCACCCACCACCTTCAGGGGCTTCTCTTAGTATGTTTGACGTACTAGAGGTTTCTGAGAACTGTGAATTCCAAGAAAGTGGGGTAAGGGGAGGTGAAGAGGTTTATGATTAAACAATGAGCCCGATAAGATGCTGCTTCCCACACTGGCACACTGGTTTAGATTGTGATACTCCATCTGAAGCCCTTCTGATTTGGGCCATTACTTAAAGGTGCTTGTTTCTCCCCTTTTCTGAAAGCCAGTTCCTCTGAATGGCACAGGCTCTTTTCTAGAGAAATGAGCCATAGTTCCCTGGCATACCTTGTGTGAGGTTCAGAATTGTTCTCTGAAGACTTCTCCCTACATTTCTGAGTAGTTTTGCTATAATGACCCACTTGGTCAATTTGGAAGTACAAATGAAAGACTAAATTGAGCCCCACATTGTAAAGTAGCTTAGGAGTTCAGTGTGGAATGCTGATTGGGATATATGCATTTATTGTGCTCTCTATCAGAATTTTAGGCAGGTTATATAGCTACATGTGTTTTATATGTATGCAAAAGAAATTTCTCATTGAGGTTCACTTGTCAAATATCTCTCTTAAAATTATTTGCAGTATCAGCGCCAGCAGTAGTTCCCAAGGGCTATCTCAGCCATCCACCCAGACGACTCAGTATCTGAGAGCTGACACACCCAACAATGCAACTCCTATCACCAGTAAGAGTTAATTTAATTCTACAGCTGTTTGCAAAGCTTGTGTGGTCTTATGTCAGTGGCCCTAATATGGTTAGTGTATTTGTGGAATTAATGTACAAGCCTCTAACTTGTGCAAAAGTTGGTTTGGTCTTCAATTTTTGTTTCCTAGAACATTGTATAAAGCATTTTAAAATTGAGGTATTTAAAGTAAAAATTAATTGTTAGAGCTACTTTTGCTTTGGGGAGATTTACATACATGTATATATGCCTGTGTGTGTGTGTGTGTGTATATATATTCAATTCTGTACAAATCCAAACTGAAGGTTTTCAGGTAGTTATACAGAATAGGCTAATATTTTCACAGGGCGTTTAAGGACTTGCATTGGCTTTATTTACCTGATGTTGGAGATTGAATCCAGGGTCTCCAGCATGGTAGCCATATTCTGTGTCACAGAGCTTCACACTGTTTTCTAATCTTTTTTTTAATTTTTTTTATCTTCTAATCTTAATACAAACTAGTTACCATTGGTATGTTATGTGCATAGAATTAAAAAAAAAAATTTCCCCACCATTCTGGGAATCAAACCTAAGGGCCCTCACACATGCTACTAACATCCCTATCTTCTAATTTTCTTCTTTTTAATTTTGTTAAGTGTGTGTGTGTGTGTGTGTGTGTGTGTGTGTGTGTGTGGGGGTGTGTGTGAGTGCGAGCACGTTAGCACAAAGATACATACACATGAATGCCAGTGGAAACTGCCTGATGTGATGCTGGGAATTGAACTTGGGTCCTTTGGAAGAGCATTGAGTGCTCTTAGCTACTGAGCCATCCCTCTAGCCTTAATTTCCTTCTTATTAACAGAATTTTGATTTAATGTTTTCCCCTAACTGGTTTTTAGCTCAGGCTAGCCTGGAACTCTAGCATGTAGCTAGACCATTGACCTTATATGGACCATTATTCTCAGCCCATTTTTATTTTCATACACTTCAGTGTTAGGTATTTTGGTGAAAGCAATTCTTTTTTTTTTTTTTTAATTTTTTGGGGGAGGGGTTTTGAGGTTTTTCAGTGTATCCCTGGCTATCCTGGAACTCGTAATGTAGACCAGGCTGGCTTCAAACTCAGAGGTCTACTTGCCTCTGCCTCCCAAGTGCTCAGGTTAAAAAAAGGCATGCACCACTATCACCCAGCTAAAGTAATTCTTTTTAAAAAATTATTAATCGATAAATTTTATATACAATGTCATGTGAAATATGCATGTAATAATGTAGACTTTGTTGGAATGTAATTTTGATATAATGGGGGATCAGTTAACACAAAAACAAAACGACAAAACATTAAAAAAAAAAAAAGAAAAAAAAAAAAAAAAAAGCCCAAAGCCCAGAGAGCCACAGATAAGGTCTTGACATGTAAAAGTCACTGGTTAGTTAGAATTTTATTGTAGGCAATTATCTGTTTTCCCAGGACTGGCATTTTTTTTTTTTAATAAAGTTAGATCAAGAGTTACCACATGAACCACCGATGGAGACTCGTGAGGGGGGAGGTGGCGGCAGCGTTAAGTGAGAAAGGGGAGGGGGTAGTATCAAGACAGGGCTGTACGGCGACACCAGAGGCCTAGTGGCAGCGGAGTGGATTCAAGGCTGAATCGAGCTTGGGAACTTGGGTACGGCGGCGGTGAGCCTCCCGCTCAAGGAGAACGCGCGTTTCAAGTGGATCTTGAGATGTTATGAACATAAACAATATAGAAATGGATTGAAGTTCTGTAAACAAATCCTTTCCAATCCCAAATTTGCAGAGCATGGAGGAACCTTAGCTATGAAAGGATTAACGTTAAAATCTCTGGGAAAAAAGGAAGAAGCTTATGAATTGATTCGCAGAGGTTTGAGAAATGACTTGAAGAGTCATGTGTGTTGGCATGTTTATGGCCTTCTTCAGAGGTCAGACAAGAAATATGATGAAGCCATTAAGTGCTACCGAAATACACTGAAATGGGATAAGGATAATCTTCAGATCTTAAGGGATCTTTCCTTACTACAGATTCAAATGTGAGATCTTGAGGGTTATAGGGAAACAAATACCAGTTGCTTCATCTTCAACCTGCACAGAGAGCATCATGGATTGGTTATGCTATTGCTTCCATTTACTAGAAGATGATGAAATGGCAGCAAAAATTTTAGAAGAATTTAGGAAAACACAGCAGACATCTCCTGATAAAGTGGATTATGAGTATAGTGAACTCCTTTTGTATCAAAATCAAGTTCTTCGGGAAGCAGGTCTCTATAGAGAAGCCTTGGAACATCTTTGTACCTATGAAAAGCAGATTTGTGATAAACTTGCTGTAGAAGAAACCAAAGGAGAACTTCTGTTGCAGTTGTGTCGTTTGGAAGATGCTGCTGATGTTTATAGAGGATTACAAGAGAGGAATCCTGAAAATTGGGCCTATTACAAAGGCTTAGAAAAAGCACTGAAGCCAGCTAATATGTTAGAATGGCTAAAAGTCTATGAGGAAGCCTGGACTAAATACCCCAGGGGACTGGTTCCAAGAAGGCTGCCGTTAAACTTTTTATCTGGAGAAAAGTTTAAGGAGTGTTTCGATAGATCCCTAAGGATGAATTTCAGTAAGGGTTGTCCACCTGTCTTCAATACTTTGAGGTCTTTATACAGAGATAAAGAGAAGGTGGCAATCGTAGAAGAACTAGTAGTTGGTTATGAAATCTCTAAAAAGTTGTCGATTATTTAACCCCAATGATGATGGGAAGGAGGAGCCACCCACCACATTACTTTGGATCCAATACTGTTAGTGCAACATTATGATAAGATTGGTCAGCCATCTATTGCTCTGGAATACATAAATACTGCTACTGAAAGTACACCAACATTGATAGAACTCTTTCTTGTAAAAGCTAAGCTCTATAATCATGCTTGGAATATTAAAGAAGCTGCCAGATGGTGGATGAAGCCCAGGCCCTGGACACAGCAGACAGATTTATTAATTCCAAGTGTGCAAAATACATGTTAAAAGCCCTAATATGTTAGAATGGCTAAAAGTCTATGAGGAAGCCTGGACTAAATACCCCAGGGGACTGGTTCCAAGAAGGCTGCCGTTAAACTTTTTATCTGGAGAAAAGTTTAAGGAGTGTTTCGATAGATCCCTAAGGATGAATTTCAGTAAGGGTTGTCCACCTGTCTTCAATACTTTGAGGTCTTTATACAGAGATAAAGAGAAGGTGGCAATCGTAGAAGAACTAGTAGTTGGTTATGAAATCTCTAAAAAGTTGTCGATTATTTAACCCCAATGATGATGGGAAGGAGGAGCCACCCACCACATTACTTTGGATCCAATACTGTTAGTGCAACATTATGATAAGATTGGTCAGCCATCTATTGCTCTGGAATACATAAATACTGCTACTGAAAGTACACCAACATTGATAGAACTCTTTCTTGTAAAAGCTAAGCTCTATAATCATGCTTGGAATATTAAAGAAGCTGCCAGATGGTGGATGAAGCCCAGGCCCTGGACACAGCAGACAGATTTATTAATTCCAAGTGTGCAAAATACATGTTAAAAGCCAATCTGATTAAAGAGGCTGAAGAAATGTGCTCCAAGTTTACAAGGGAAGGAACATCAGCAGTAGAGAACCTGAATGAAATGCAGTGCACATGGTTCCAGACGGAGTGTGCCCAGGCATACAAAGCGATGAACAAATTTGGTGAAGCACTTAAGAAATGTCATGAAATTGAGAGACATTTTATAGAAATTACCGATGACCAGTTTGACTTTCATACATACTGTATGAGGAAGATCACCCTTAGATCATATGTGGACTTATTAAAACTAGAAGATGTACTTCAGCAGCATCCATTTTACCTCAAAGCAGCCAGAATTGCGATTACGATCTATTTGAAGCTTTTTAAAAACCCACTTACAGATGAGAATAAAGAACACGAGGCTGATACAGCAAACATGTCTGACAAAGAGTTAAGAAACTATATAATAAATGAAGAAGAGCACAAAAGAAAGCCCAGATAGAAGAAGAGAGAGAGAAAAAAAAAACGCAGAGAAAGAAAAGCAGCAGAGAAATCAGAAAAAGAAAAAGGATGATGATGAGGAGGAGGAAATTGGAGGTCCCAAAAAAGAACTTATCCCAGAGAAATTGGCCAAGGTGGAGACTCCATTGGAAGAAGCTATTAAGTTTTCAACACTGTTGAAGAATTTGGTGAAGAACAAGATAGAAACTCATCTTTTTGCCTTTGAGATTTACTTGAAAAGAAAAGTTTCTTTTGATGCTACAATCAGTAAAGTGGTCATTTGCTATTGATTCTAGTCATCCCTGGCTTCATGAATGCATGATTTGACTCTCTAATTTTGTGTGTGAAAGTAAAGACTTACCTGAAACAGAACAGTATTAAGACAAGAAATCAATCATCTTTTTGGAGCAACAAATCCAAAGAATTTTAATGAAACTTTTCTGAAAAGGAATTCTGATTCATTGCCACATGGATTATCAGCTCCCAAAATGGTATATCATTTACATTCTTCTAGTTAGAAACGAGCAATAGAGCTGGCAACAACACTTGATGGCTCCCTCACCAACAGAAACCTTCAGACTTGCATGGAGGTTTTGGAAGCCTTGTGTGATGGTAGCCTAGGAGACTATAAAGAAGCTGCTGAAGCTTATAGAGAAAATTGTCATAAGCTTTTCCCATATGCTTTGGCTTTCATGCCCCCTAGATATGAAGAGAATATGAAGATCACAGTTAATGGAGATAGTTCTGCAGAAACTGAAGAACTGGCCAATGAAATTTGAATATCACTGAACAGCAAATGGAATGACTTTGGACCATATCTAGTGTATAATATTTTTGTCACGCACTTGCTGCATTGCTCTAACTTACACAGAATGAGAGGAGTAAATGTTCTTGCCTTCAAATAGTCTTTTCCGTTTTTTATCCTGCTGAAAACTATATATAAAATACCTAACATTACAGGATATAGATTCAGTTTCTTAAAAATTAAAAGCTGCTAAAATTGAGGGGTTAAAAAAAGTCCATATTGTACTCCTACCTCCCCTGCCCATGTTTTTAAACTAATTTACATAAAATCTGGAGGCTATTACAGTTAACATAGCAGGTGTGTGGCAGAAATATTACTTTAAATTTGTCTTGTGAGATTTTACTATATCTCAGACAGCATAAATGCTGTTTTAGCACTGGATTCTTTCACTGAGCACAAAGAATTGTTGGGGCTTTAGCATCTGACTGATTTTGTTACGGGGTTGATGCTTGACCATAGGAAGTATGCATTGTGAATCACTATGTACAGAGCCATCTACAACAGACACTTGACGTTGTAGAGACTGGGACCCATAGCTACCAAGCAGATTATATGAAACCTAGAAGGTGTTCAGTACGCGTGTTGTGTTTCCAAAATTTTCTGTACATGATCGGTTTGGTGTTCTTGTACCACAGTTTTTAACTGAAGGAACCAGTTGGAACAATCTCAATTTTAACAAAAACTTGAAGAACTAAAATAACAATGCAAACATTTAGCAATGTTTTGGCTAAACTTGTTAAAACTGTAATGCAAGAACCAAATGCACTGTGATGTGGCACCAACTAATTGGCAAGCATGAATTTTCACCTGAGAGTAAAAAAAAGAAAATCTACCATGGCTTGAAGTTAAAGAGCAGAACTCCTGACTACCATTCTATGACTGATCAAGAGACTAATAGCTAAAAACCTCAGCAGGCCTTGTTCACTATATGCAGAAAAAAAATGCTGCATTTTAGATACCTCTGGAACTTTTCCACAGTGTCACAGGTTTGTAATACTTGAAGTCCTTCATTTCTAAGAATGTATTTCTTGCTCAGTTTTTTCAGGCAAGCCCAAGACTTTGTAATTTTTAATGGTCCCAAGATTTTTTTTTCAATAACAGACCAGCTTCTTTTTCCTGCAGTTACAAATGTAATTTCTTTTTTGTTGTCAAACATAAGGTACCAAATATGATGCAATAAATTGTTTAGAAAAACAAAAAAAACCCCAAAAGTTAGATCAAGATTGTATTTTTCCCTATCTTGGTCAGTGGTCTGTTCTGTGATGGGACACCACCCCCAAGGCTCTTATAAAATAAAACATTTAATTGGGGGCTTACTTATAGTTTCCTATGTTCTCATCATAGCTAGGAGCATGGTGCTTAGACAGTAGTTGAGAGCTACATCCTGATCTACAGGCCCAGAGCCTAGGCCTGACATAGATGTTTGAAATCTCAAAGCCCACCCCTAGTGACACACTTCTTGTAACAAGGCCATACCTCCTAATCCTTGTAATCTTTTCAAACACTTCCACTCTGGTGACTAAGCATTCAAGTATATGAATGTGTAGGGACCATTCTTATTCAAGTCACCAAACTTTATTGTTGTCTTTCCAAACTTTCCCTTGAAAAAGAACCAGAATTGTTAGGAGAAAGAGGAGATTCCAGGTCTGGATCAGGAAATGAATAGCGTAAGTCTGAGACATGTTGCTGCAGATTTGAAGCTCCCACTAACCAAGGATGGAACCATTGAGTATCCAAGAGAATAATGCAATGGATTTGAACAAAAGATGTGTAATAGTCCATACATTTATAATGCTTGAAATTGCTCAGCATAATTAATTGATAACTAGGGCTCAATCAATACCTTATTATTCTGATAGCTGGCTAAATGAATTGTATTGCATGGTAACAAGCTAGTGCTGGTTGATTAGGACAAACATTTCTTTATAGAAGACTCCCAGCTAATGAAAGTGAGAAGAATGATACAATTAGAAAATGACATTTTCAATCCTTAGCAAAATACTTTATTTAGGAAAGATCATCATTGATGAAAACCCTAAGAAAAAGGGAAATGGAAACTTTAACATTAGCTAGCTCAAATCCACTGACAAAACTTAGCTGTACAAAAAGTTTAGCAAACAGATATTTTGTACCTGTGGATAATGATCTTCCAACCCAAAATAATTAGCCTGGATTTAATCAAGGCTGTAGGACTGTCAGCTTTCATGTAGTAAAGGGTTAGAGGAAGAAGACAGATGATACTCCAAGGAGCAGAGAGGCCAGTTCTGCACAATTGAACTATTTCCTTCACTAAGACCATGGCAAGAAAGAAGGGATGGCAAGAAACTTAAGAGAAAGCATCACAGCACCTACTGTCACTCTCAAGAAAGAAAGAAATATAATGAGCCCTTCATGAAAATGCCATGGAGGATATGAAAGGCATACCTGCTCAGAAAGGCACGCCATTGCTTTTAATGTTTACATGCCAGGATTTGCTTATTAGGGCCTATTCTTACCTGTGGATATGACCTTATAAAATAGATAACACCAGTGACTATATATGCTAAGTTTTTCTTTTAAGAAAGGCATTGAAAGTACATTTGCATATTAAAATTTGTCATTATTATGAAATTTACTTCTTTTTTGTTTTTAATTGTGGACATTACCATAAAGAACCAAATAATTCATTTAATAGATGCTGAAAACAAACACTTAAAAATTTTTTAACCTTTATTTTTATGTGTGAGTGTTTTGCCTGCATGTTTTTGCCTGTGACCATGTACAGGAAGTTCCTGCAGAGGTCAGTAGAGGACAGTGGATCCTCTGGACCTTGAGAGTTACATACAGGTGTGAGCTGCTATGTGGGTGCTGGGAATTTAAACTCTTATTCCATAAGAGTAGCGAGTGCTCTTAAACACCGAGCCTTTCCTCCAGCCACCACGAAACACTGTTTAAAAAGCTCAACGTAAATACATTTGTTTTATGACTACGAAAGGAAGGCCAGACATGCTGGTGTACACTTTACATCCTAGCACTCAGGAGGCAGTGGCAGGTGGATCTCTATGAATCTGAGGCCAGCCAGCTTTACATAGTGAGTTCATTCCACAGTAGCCAGGCGTGCATAGTGAGACTGTGTCTCAAAACAAAATAGTCACAACAATAGAGGAATGGAATGTAGTAGTACATACCTATAATCCCAGTACTTGGGAAGCTGAGGCAGACCATGAATTCTAAGTCAGCATGGACTGCCCGGTGAGACCTTTTCTCAAAAAGAAAAGAAAAGGGGGCAGAAAAGGTAAACAAACACGAAAACTTAAGATATATTGGCCAAGAATTTTCCAAGGTAACAGAATAGAAGAGACCACAGATTCAAGACACTCAGAGAAGTTCTGGTAGAATTAAATATACAAAAATGGCTTATCACTGGGTTCAAGCATTGCCAGATTACATCTGTTATGAAATGTTATAGAGCCTTCATGTAGTCTTCTGGCAGCCACTGGTGCTCATTGTTGTGATCTGTTAATTTTTTAAAAATTAAGACATAATTGCATTGTTTCTCCCTTCCCTTCCTCTAACCCTGCCCCCGCCCCCACCTGCCACTGCTGCTTTCTTTCTTTTTGTTATCTGGCAAAGGTAGTAAGTCATTAAAAATACCATTTCAGTTTCTGTTTGCTGACCCTGGTTTTTCCTTTTTTTCTTGTCATGAAAACTTTAATTTATGGCTGTAAATTCTATTATTTTCATTGCATTAAGAATGCAATGGATGGAAATTGAGTGAACTTAAATTTGAACCTCAAAATGGCATGAGCAGGCTAGGCTGTGGGAGTACAAACGAGTGATCCAATTGATGATGTATTTCATTAGAAATGACACTTTTTCAGATATCTCTTCATTTGAAAAGATCCTTTGTTACATGACTATATTGAATATCATTCGTAAGGCATTCAAAATGATAGTAATTGTATTTTTGGCATTTCTTGTTTTAACAGTATTTTGACCTTTGGGGACAGTATTATGGTGGATGGCAATGGTTTTCCTTAATATTTTTTAAATTTATTTTTATTTTTGTGCATTGATGTTTTGCTTGCATGTATGTCTTTGTGAGGGTGTCTGATTCCTTGGACCTGGAGTTAAAAAGTTGTGAGCTGCCATGTGGGAATTGAACCTGGGTCCTCTAGAAGAGCAGACAGTTCTCTTAACCACTGAGCTCTCTCTCTATTCCCTTAACATCTTAGGTGTCTTTCATAAATAGCTTCCCTGGTTTGTGTATATAGCTGTTTGCTTTTATATTGTTTCATTATCCATTGCTGTGCCTTCAGTCCTGAGGTTGTAAATGACTAGTGGACTCCAGTTCTATAGTAGGGTATTTATATTGCTTGGTCTGGCTTTGTTGGCTCCTCAGGTTATCCTACCTTGAGGATAGAGAAGAACGACTTGCGGAGTGTCACTCTTTTAGAGGCCAAAGCCAAGGTGAAGGATATAGCCATATCCAGGGAAAGGATAACACTGAAAGATGTGCTTCAAGAAGGTACTTATTTTCTCTAAATTTTCTGTTTTGTTTAAAAAAAAAAAAGATTTCATTTTCCTTTTCTTTAGGTTTTATTCAGTGTGCACTAGCAGCTTTGATGAACATCTTGAGTTTGAAGTGTGATAAAACATTATCTATAAGTATATTTTCTATTTATTCTTATTTAAAGTGATCAATACCCAACAGTGTATTTTAATTATTCAGATTCATGTTTTCTCTCATGGGTTGTGGGTGATCAAGTGGATGGATGGACTTTGGGATTAGACTCAGATTCCAGCCCCAGGATTTGGTGCCTGTGTGACCTTAGAGAAACCACACAGCATCGTAGAGTTTGTAGATTTAATGACACAGTGTGGTCTTGATCACTCTTCGACTAGTTGAGAGGTGAGATAAAACGACACACACGACAGGATTAACAGAACTTGCACTTGACATGTCCAGTACTCTTTCCGTCTTTTCTTGCAGGTCCTTAGGGTCTTGATTAAGGAGATGGTGAAAGAGGACAGAAAGTACTGCACTCAGCTTTTCACATTGTTAATAGGAGATGCTTGTTTCCTCCACTGCAGTTTGCTATGGAATGTTTTTGGTTGTATAAGTCCACTCTGTTTGCTGGGACTCCTGAAAGCTAGCCTCAGCTAAGCAAGGAACTTAAAATACCTTGAAAGCAAATGAAAGCAGTTTTTTGTTTGTTTGTTTGTTTGTTTGTTTGTTTGTTTGTTTTCCTGGTCTGTTTTTCAGTGTGTGAATGCTGCTCCTTCAGCTGTCTGTTTTCTAAGAATAACTAGTTTTCAGATCTGTCTGCAGTCTGAAGAGGGCAACTAGGTCAGACAGCATTTATTACAGGATTAATGGTTATATTTACAGTTTTCTGGGTCTCAAAACAGGATGGAGCAAATAACCCCAGGTTACATACTCATAATTTGAGGAAATTTGGAACCAGGTGTTTTCCTTGATGTTTTTGGAACCACAATGGTTTGTTTTAGAACTTTCACTTTCAGAAAAGAAAACATGGCTGGCTAATATTTTGTGAAGTGGTCAGGTTCACTGGAAATCTGATAAGTACGAATCAAACAGTAGTTTACAGGCCACTTTTCATCTGTCAGGTTAGACAGGATTAAGATATCCAGATAGGGTTTGAGGAATGAACTGTTACACACTGTGACCTGTGGTCAGGTCATCGTGTACACAGGTGCTTTTAGTGTGGGGTTCACCCAGTTAGTTTTGCCTTTAAAGTCTGTGTTTGGAGTAAGGGAAGTGGGACTAGGTATGGGGCAGAGGGGCCAGCAGGAGGTCTGCACCGCTCTGTACCAGAGGAGCAAAGCCTCCCTGCCTCCAGCATCCACGGCACTCCGTCTCTGTCCTCAGTGGGACCTTCCACAAGGGCACCAGTACTTCAGCACATACAGTGTGTGTGTGTAGTGTCCATAGCAAAGCTAAACCATTTCAGGCATTTCTTTTAAATTGTGGAAGGATGAAAGTAAAAAATGGTCTCGTGTGAAAGAATAACATGCCATTAATTGTTTTTTGAAGATCACCTCATCACAAAGCCTTTTTAATCCTGGACAGCCAGGCCTACACAGAGGAACCCTGTCTTACAAAACCAAAAAAAAAAAAGCATTAAAGTTAAACTATTTTTACTAATAAATCTGTGCAGATTTTCATGTATCTATTTAACCACTCCTCCTGCCCCAGAAATGTCATAGTTTCTGTCTGCTGTAAGAGCTTTTTAGGAACACACTTGACCTGAGAATCCAGTCACCAGTTTGAGACTTAGTAGTACGAGTCATGGAGCCCCTGAAGCCAGGATTTGCATTCCCTTGGCCTTTTCTTCACTAAAGTCTGCATCAGCAGAAAGGAGAAGCCGGTTTTCTCCCTTTGCTGTTGCTTTGAGGTGACTACCAGAGACTCAGCTGCCTGGACTGACACCTGTAACTGTTGCCGCACTCCTGTGTTACTAGTTTATTTAAGGACATTAGGAAAAACATCCTCATATGCTTAGTTTAGATATGGGATTTCTCAAAGCAAGTTGCTTTGTAGTCACAAATGGCTTTTAACTGCTTTGGTCCGGTTTACTCTGGATCTAGAGTAATGGCCACCATACTTGTTTAGGTTGAATTGCCAGAAAGCTGTATGATACTGTGAAGATGATCATATGGCCTCATTAACTTATTTTTCCTTTTAGGTACTTTTGGGCGTATTTTCCATGGGATTTTAGTAGATGAAAAAGACCCAAATAAAGAAAAGCAAACATTCGTAAAAACAGTTAAAGGTAGGGTTTTCTTGCATGCTATTTCCATAATAGTTTTTTGTATAAATGATTCAAGCTAGCCAAGCTTTGTCTTCTTCTCAGTGTGTGCCAGACCTTTGGGATTAGTTTATATTTGTGTCACTCATAGGCTCATTTTTGAGAGTCAAGTTTTTTTCACCAGACGTAGAAATAGTTTTCTAGCTTATTAAATATTTATTAGATATAATTCCAACTGTAGTTAAATTGGGTGTTCTTAACTTGGCTGTTGCTGTTATCTAATTTTGGGTTTTTCCTGTTAAAATTCTCATACCATCTTTTATCCTACCTAAGAAAACATTGTCATTAGTTTACTTTTTAACACACAGACATTTATAAAAAACAAAATAAAACAAAACAAAACCCAATTAAATGTACTTAGATTCCCAATACCTTAGGTAAATGCTGTTTCTCTTTCATTCCCTCTTGTTCTTTTATATGCTGTATAGTACCCTAGGAGATGCCTGCCTGACATAACCCCCACTCCCTTTGCCACCTCCTACCCCCACCCCTATGTGTGAGCAAGTGTACATACACATTTGTACATACATGCAGAGACCAGGGGTCAACCTTAGGTTTCTTTAATAAGTGCTATACACCTTGGTTTTTTTGTTTTTGTTTTATAATTATGTTTTATGTATATGAGTGATTTGCCTGCATGTGTGTTTTGTACCACATGGGTGCCCTGGTCCTCAAGGAGTTTGTCAGATCCCCTGGAACAGATGGTGTGAGTCACTATGTGGATGCTGAGAATTGAACCTGGGTCCTCTGGAAAAGCAGACAATGCTTTTAACAACTGAGTCGTCTCTCTAGCCCAATCTACCTTGTTTTGGGACAGATCTCTCTCAGGGACCCAGGGCTTTCCAGTTAGGCTAGGTAGATTGGTTAATGAGCTCCAGGGACCCACCTGGATCTGCCCTACAGTGCTGGGTTATAAGCACTGCCACCAGGCTGGCTTTTTTACATCATCATCGTACTTCCTCCCCGTGCTTGAAGGCAAGTCCTTCACAGACCAAGCAAGCCTTCTCCCCAACTCAGTAAGTACTAATTTCTGAAAAAGAAATTAAGTACTTTTAGAGATTGAGGGGAAATTACTTTTGAGTAGAAGGTGACAAATGTTTTTGTGATTCACAAAGATAAATGATAATAACTGTTTTTAAATTTACTTAAAGGCATACATGAAAAGGATGGAGGGCTTACTATATTATTTTAAAAATTTGGCTTTTACTAGTCTAACTAAAATGTCTGGAATATATTGCTTGTAATTTAGTAAAATTGCCCAGTTAAGGTTGCTGCAAATACTTAAAACCCTCCACACTCTCTTTAACTTTTCTAAACAAATGGTTTAAGTTGCTATTTTGTTTAGTTTTGCTTACCAACTCCCCTTAGCTCCCAAAACATTGTATATTTTGTTAGATTGTAGTGGGCTTCCTGACTAGTTTTAAAGAATCATTAACATGACTGTTTTTATATTTTATTCTTTATAAATATGAGGTTTGAGCCACAAGTTTAGTAAAAGAAACTGCCTTTGTTTTCTTATTTTTTTTAAAGGAAATATTTTATTTTAATGCTTATATTTTTTGGATTTATAAATACTCTATGGATCATAATGAATCCTGAACTAACAAAAGAGGTTTTCACACAGAATTGGTTTGATTTAGGTTGAAAAGGAAATAATAATGATAAGAAAACACAGGACGGATCCTGCAACTCTGTGATAAGCTTTCTCTTCTATGCTAGAGCTATGACCACTGCTCTGCCTCCCTATAACTACTGTGCTCTCCCTAATTGGAGGGAAATAGGGGAGGCACGGAGGGTCCTCAGCATCCAGGCATGGCTGGTGTTGGGCTGAGGGGAATCGAAACAGGCACTTGTTTGCATAGTGCCGCATGACTGAAGTGCTTCACAGTTTATACTTTAGACTGGTGATTTTCAATTAATGTTAGGTACTACCAACAGACTTCCCTCACAGGGTTGTGTACTTATTTCATCTCATTGCATGCTAGACAAATGGTAGTTTGTTTTTGGGTTTTATTTTAGAGAATACATACTTTTTAATGGGGAAAATGGATTTTGTTCTAAAGTTCAATAATTTTATACAGAGAGCTAATGGTATCCAATGCCACTTTCCAAAGACTGAAGTCAGATATGCCATCTAGACCAAAACCCATTAATTTAGAGCTAGTAATCAAATGGATTCAGGCCCAGTACAGCATGCCTCTGGTCACAGCATCTAGGAGACTGAAGCAGGAGGAGCGAGAGGTGGAGGCCACCTTAGGCTACATAGTTAGACTTTGTAAGCTCAGAAAGTTTAAACAGCACAAAAAGGTGCAAAATATAGGTTATCCCATCCCAAAGGAACCAGTATAAGAATTTATGTTCTTTGCCCGAGTCAGGGAAAAACATGCTCATGGGTATTTTATGTTTTCAAGTAATTTTGTTTTTAATGATCACACAGACCTTTGCACTTTCCCTCTGAAATGTACTGTGTGTTTAATTTAATGACTTCCACTACGGTGCCTGCAGACCTATCTGTAGAGTACCCCAGGGAGCCCTGCAGCTCTCGATCGCTCAGCATTTAGTGATGATGCAGGCGCAGCTGTTCCCTCACATTTGTTAATGCCACTTTCCCCACCCACCTTCCTGAGAGTCTGTCTGCATACCGAATGTCTGTTTCAGTCTGATAGGGAATGGCCTCTCCTAGCTCAGTCTGGACAGCTTCACTTAGTAGTGGGACCAAAAGTCCTTTCATAATTTTGTTGGGCTCCATCTGTGTTTCTGTATTTCCCTAATAGACTGTATGGCATCTTTATGAAGAGGGGACAAGCCCTCTGTGTGTCTCCTGTGTTTTCTAATCTGTTGCTGCCTTTTCTCCTTGGCTTGTGGAACCTTACTAAACTTCTGTCATCTGTCCAGCACAGTTCTGTCTGCTGCCGTGGAACTTTAGGCTGTATCTCTTTAGATTTATGTGTAACTTACAAGAAAAATTTACCTTGAAGTAAAAGATATTTACTAATAAATGTTAATGTCATGAATACAGTGTTATTCAAGGCAATGTCTGTTATTTATATAGATCAAGCATCTGAAGTTCAAGTGACAATGATGCTAACGGAGAGCTGTAAGCTTCGAGGTCTCCATCACAGGTGAGAGCAAAGGCCGTATCTCAGCAGCAAGCACAGCTCAACTCTGAGCTCTTACTTATTCAGTAAGAACGTTATGTCTGTTTATGAATTTTGAAATGGCTTGTTTTTTTTTGTTTTTTGCTTTTTTTTTCCTGAATATGAAGATAAATGCATGTGCATTGAACACAATATGAGACTAGTGAAGTACAAAGAAAATAGAGAAGAGTCTATAGGCCACATAAATAATAAATGGACACAACTAAGCTTTCTAAAACAGTTGGTACATATTTATGCTCCTGTCTCCCCTTAAAAAAAGGATAAAGTGGTGCATATGTTAAAGATAATTGTGATGAAAATTTCAAATGTATAGAACACTATTGGCAAAAATAGTCAACCATTCTTGGATGCAGTGAGGTTGATAGTCTGCCATGATTGCTGTGAGTGTGCACTCAAGTGTGTGTGTGTATGTTTGTGTGTGTGTGCCCACCTATTTGTGTGCCCCTGTATATGTGTGTTTCTGTGTGTCTGTATATCTAGAAATAGCATCTATGCATTTGTCTGTAGAGATATTTTATAAAAAGTTAGATATCTCAACACATTAGTGTGTTTCCAGTATACATTTAAAAAGGATAGTGTTATCTTTAATAAAATTAATGAATTTCTTATTGTAACAACAAAAAAAAACATTTCTAGGTCTTCATGCTGGTAACTATAAACCCCTCCCCCCATTTTGAAAGGCTTCTTAGTGGTTTACTGAATGGCTGTACCACATTTTATTTACCTCATCTCTTATGTATGCTCTTAGAATGGTAGCATGATTTCACAAAAGGTACTTGTAGGAAGAGTTCTAGATCAGGAATCACCAAGGACAGTAGCATCAGTATCATGGCAAATTTGAGACAGGGTTTCTATACAGTTCTATATAGTCTGGCTGCCCTGGGACTCGCTTTGTAGACCAAGTTGGCATCAAATTCACTAAGACCCACTTGCCTCTGCCTCCTGAGTACTGGTACTAAAGGTATGTGTCACCATGCTTAGCTGGCAACGTTTTGTAAAGCACTGTGTAGAGATCTGAGTGGAGGTCCACATCTATGACCCAGAGTTCTTGGGGTACAGACAAATAGAATCTGAGGTTCATTAGCCAGCCTAACAAAATTGGTGTGCTCCAGGTCAGTGAGAGACCACGATGGAGAGCAATCAAGGAAAGTATGATGTTGACCTCTGACATCTATGCACATGCTGAAACGTGTGCATACATACACATACGCACCCACATGTACATGCACCACACACAAGTACTGTGTAGACTCACCTTAATTTGTGTGAGAATTTCACATGTCCAAAAAAGTGAACCATGACTCTACATATTGGGAGGGTCTATGGACTTCTGGGAACCGCAAGTGCAGAGGGCGCCATGGATTTCCATTACAGTGGACTTGGGCAATTGCTTGAATAAAAAACATGAGTACACAGAACTTCCTTCTTTTCATTTCATTTTTAATTTGGCTTTTGAGGACCTCAAAAGACGACAGCCACATAAAAATAAGACTGGTAATGAAAATGAGACAGATTTTTGGCATTGTGTTAGTAGAAAAGAAAACAAGCCAAGAGTAGAAGACAAACTGTTTGGGCTGGGATTAAACAGAACATAATTCTTAGCTTCTGGTCAGCTGAGATGAAGGCAACATTAAAATCCAGCAAATCTCAGTAGCAGATAGAAAAGAAGAAAACGCTTTGTAGGAAGTTAAGTTTTTTAGTTTCAGATAACACATTAGGTTTATTATATAATATAGATATTGACTAATATAAAAGTAAATACACATTTTTAAAAATTTCATAAGAAAAAACAGGCTTTTGAAAAAAAGTTGAATGCAGTATTAGGAACAGTGAGTGTATGCCTTGGAAGAGTGGAGTCATGTGACTCAAGAATGTTGCCTTTCATTGGCCAGATTCATCCTTAAGAGCAGCGGTCCTCACTTGTAGAGGAATGGATGGACAATCCCCTCTTGAGGCTATATTTGCTTTGAAAAAAATAGTTATATTGTTAAACAAAATTTAAAAAAGAAACCCAAAATGTGTTTTGTTTCCTCGAGGCTTTTGGAGTGCCCCTTTTGACGGTGCTGTGAGACACTGCTTGATGCTGTTACTCCGACTCTAGAGGGAAGCACCAGCAGTGTTTGCCACTAGTCTACCACGCTAGCTGAGGACTTACACTTCTAGCCATTTCCCTCACCCAATGAAACCTGCACCCATCAGCACAGAAGCATGTGGCAGGGATAAATGTAGACAAGCCAGGTTTTCCCCCAAGCAGTTGTTTTAGATCCACTGTAGCCCTAAGCATACCTTGGTTAAGCAACCCAGGCAGGCATGTCCAGCATTCTCTCTTGCAGCTGTAGACTGCATGGCTTCTCAGCATCCCACGGTGATGGATTAGCAGTTCCATGACATCCCACAGGATGGAGCTGAGTGATATTGACTTGGAGCAATTGACACTGGATGGGGGGGGGTTGCTTATAAAGGCAAGTTATAGCTTGGTCAGGGTTTGTTGTCATCTTGTGTAGGAAGTGACATCAGGACTTCTAGTAGTAGGATTAAAATTGTTAGTGTGTAGCATTTCCTGTAGCACTTCATCTTACCACATTTTCTTTTTAAATGAATATTGGTGGCTGTGTGTTTATTCTCTTTGATTTAGTTCACTAACTGCCCATTTTGCACCCAGAACTCAGCTAGACACAGAATAAAAATGAAACAGTAATCTTAGATGAATAGTATAGAATTTATTGTACAGACTCTGTACTTGGTAAGAGCTGTCACCTGTTTTCAGATTCTACCCTTGAACTGGTTGTGATCTGTAAGTCAGAAGGTTTGCCTTCTGTTTTAACATTCTGAGAGATGAAGAGTGGAGAGGCACTGAGACATTTTAAAGCATCTTGAAATTCTATTTTTTTTTGTTTTTATTTTTCCATTGGAGCTTGTAAGCATAATTTTTTACCTTAAGTAAATACTTGCATAAATTAAACATAATCTGCTTTCATTATTTCATGTCAGAGAATCCCTAAGCCATTTCTTGTGGCTTGTGGTTTGCAGTCCCCATTGGCCCAGAATGCCTGGTGATGACACTTGTTAATGCTGACTGATACACAGCTGTCAGGCTGTAAGTGTGCTCAGCATGGAGGCAGTTGTTCCCAGCCCCATATCCCACCTTGCCTCTACCTTTTCTGCACACCTCCTTTACACACATACATCCTGAGATGTCTCAGACCTTTCTCTCTGTCCTCCTTTTGCTTTGTGAAATGGGCAGAGTGAAGGGCAGTCATTTGTTCTTGAAAACATCTTCATAAAGCGTGTTACTGCTTCCAGAGTTGTTTCCCCCTTTTACTTTATGTGTTTGGGTGTTTTGCATACATGTATGTCTGTGTACCACATGTATGCAGTACCAGAGGGGAACAGAAGAGGGCATCAGATCTCCTGAGACTGAAGTTAAAGACAGTTGTGAGCCACCATACAGGTGCTAGGAATCAAACTTGGTCCCTCTGTAAGTGCAGCCAGTGTTCTTAACCGTGGATCCCAGAGGACTTTTAATCCTGGGGCTATAGAATGAAAGTTTTGATTTTATTTGCTTATTTGTTGTGTCTGGACAAAATGCCGTTAATTCTGCTAAATGATTTCAGTCATGAGGGAGAGAGTAGAGTTAATCTTTTAGGGTTAAAGAATGGGCCAGCTCACCTGCCTGTACTGAAGTCAGGGTTTGCCTTGGCTGACCCTCAAGGTGAGTCGTTAGTTGTGTGCATGGAGGTTGCTGGGAAGGGAGTGGGGCTCTGCAATCCTTCCTGTGTTCTCCTTTTTTCCTGGGAGGAAATGTCCAGCAGCCCAGGGGAAAGCACAGGATGTGGAGTCTCATGAAACCCTGCATCTTCTTCTTCTTTTGTACTTGATCTTTGTCCTTTGGTTCCCTAACCCTTTTCCCTGGCATGGCTGCCAGTGTTGCAAGCAGAAGCCCTGGAGGGTCCAGTGCCTATTAGAGACCGATGCAATTACAGTTCTCAATGGGGACATTTTTAGGACATAAACAAAGGTAAAGCAGAAATTAACTAGTCCTACAAGTCAAAGACAACTCGTCTTGGTGTATTTCTGCAGTTTTCCCTGTGACTTTGTGATTGTCCTTTGAATGTGCGGTTTGTGTCTCACTTTCTTTAAGCTCTTTTTGAGTTTTCTTATGTTTCTTTGTGATCATTCAACTTGTAATGTGTTATTTCATTATTCTTGGCATTCATGTTGCTTGCAACTTTTCACTATTGATATCCCATTAACTTCTCTTAATGCAGCCTTTTATGTTTGATATTAAAAATTTTTTATGAAACCATTGTTAGAAACAGAATTTACCAGGAAGTGGGAGTGCTTTTAGGTTATTGTTATGTATGTTTCAAATATATATATTAAATATTGAAATGCACAGGATGTGGCACACTGGATATATAAATTGAGTCTGTGATTACTTTTGGCTTAGTAAAAAGGAGGTGATTACTTAAATAGTTACAGCCTTGAGGAAAATTAGTTATTTCCATATATCCACAGGAGAATGGTGTGCGTGTGTGTGTGTGTGTGTGTGTGTGTGTGTGTGTGTGTGCGAGCTCATGCACATTTACCACGAAAGATAAAGTGAATAAGATTGTTCATCACATCTTGGTTTATTTTGCATATAAAACTGTTTGTGGTTGGTGAAATCCACATGTTACAAGTTTGAAAACTAAGGTTAAGGAGGGAGACACCCAGATACTGAATTTTACTTTCAAAAATTCGATACCAAATTTTATGTGACCACAAACACTTTACTTCTGTGACAGTCTCAACCTGTTAAAGACTTTTTTGGTGACCTTATTTTTATCCATAGTCTAGTTTGGGCCTTTTTATTTTTAAGTGAGATGATGAAATTAGTGGGACAGCATCATGATGTACTCCTAGCCTAGCCATTTTCAGGTGTCTTATCCTTTGGAGTGGAGACTTAGTGTGACTAGAATGTCTTCAGCAAATCGAGTACAAAGGGATCCATTCTGTAATTTTTGTCTTACAAAGAAAGCTCATATATATGAAGACTGTTTATATGTGGTTCAAAAAGTAGAACATTTGTAAATAAAAGTTTTAATGATAATCTTTTAAAATTTTTTTTGGATTTTGTTTTGCTTTAGATTATCTTTATTACTTTTAATTTAACATAAACCCATAAAGTTTTCGATTTCATTTGTATCTTTCCCAATCTCTTATAGAAACCTTCTTCCTATTACTCATGTTTGCATAGAAGAAGGGGAAAAGCCCATGGTGATACTGCCGTACATGAACTGGGGGAACCTTAAATTGTTTCTACGGCAGTGCAAATTAGTAGAAGCCAATAATCCTCAGGTGAGAAAATGTCCCCAAATACCACTGGTTTTCCTGATGTCTTTTGAAGTAGGTATTAATAACCATATATGTGTCTTAAAGGCCTGCAAAGAAAGAGTGAACCGGCAATATTTATAAACTGTTGATTTGGAGGAAAATAAGGATGGCATATGGAGCCACCCCCCCCACCCCCCCAGCAAACTTGGCCAATGCTGTTTTGCTCGGTTCACTGTGTGTTCATAGTCACCTCTGATGCTTGGTGACAGCATCTCAGTCCTGTGTAGGGTAGCTTCTGAAGATGTGTGTCCAGGATTCCCTTCTAGGAAAGGAAGCCATTGCAGGTCTGTCTGACCACATGGTACCAACAGTGGTGATGATTAGAGGCCTGGAGTATGGGAGATAATTGGGATATTTTTACTGTGCTTGGCTGGAAGATGCCATCATTTAAGAGTTTCTTTCTTGTCACTACCCATGTACTCTGCTGTGAACACCTGATCAGATTCCAGACATGTTATGATAGTGGTAAGAAAATCTGTTGAGTGTTTGACTTTCCGCTGTATTTTGTGGTTTTGTTAGTTTTGGTTTTTGGTTTTTGTTTTTTTTTTTTTTTTTTTTTTGGTTTTTTTTGAGACAAGGTTTCTCTTTGGCTTTGGAGGCTATCCTGGAACTAGCTCTTGTAGACCAGGCTGGTCTCAAGAGCACATCTTGGTTGAGAAATAGGTTTAAAAAAACTCAGTAAGTAGGTGCAAGGAAGTGTTTTAGTGTGGGACAATGGACTCGGGTAGTCAGATCCAAAACTAGCTTTGTACTGTTGGCAAACTGTGTCATTTTTTTTTTTTTTTTTCTGTTATGACAGGCAATTTCCCAGCAAGATTTGGTACACATGGCTATTCAGATTGCCTGTGGAATGAGCTACCTGGCAAGAAGGGAGGTGATCCATAAAGACCTGGCTGCTAGGAACTGTGTGTAGGTGTCAAGGGCTTGCTACTGTCACTAGATGAGTAGTGCTCCCTGGATTTGGGGTTCTGTTGGGAGTCATTATGGGTAACAGTGGGTCTTCTTGACACCCTAATGCCTGTCATGTTCATGTTTTTACTCCTCAGCATCGACGACACTCTTCAAGTGAAAATCACAGACAATGCCCTTTCCAGAGACTTGTTTCCCATGGACTACCACTGTTTAGGGGACAATGAGAACAGACCAGTGCGATGGATGGCTCTGGAAAGTCTGGTTAACAATGAATTCTCTAGTGCTGGTGATGTGGTAAGTACCAGAGTCCAGGTGTCAACAGCACCAAGAGGAAAGCTTTCTCTTCACAGTGTTCTGTTGTTGGTCCTTTTAAAAATCTTGTTACTATTCCTTGACATTTTCATCTAGACAACATGTGTAGTTAGCTTCCTTTCAACCCTCTTAAAACAGAGAAACTGGCCCAAATCCTGAGCCGGTGTTGTATTCTCCCTGTTCACAAAAGCTGACACCATGGCGTCCACTGGTGTCGAGTGTTTAGGCGCTGAGGTTTAGGGAGCCGACAGCACCATCTCCCTTGTGCAAGACTCGGATGGCCATGTGGCTACCAAAGCGCAGAATGCATTGCTTTCTGCAAATGGTCTCTTCTCAGTTTAACAGCCTCTCTTAACCTATAGTCCTGACATTGTTTTTGTTTTCTATCTCCTCATCCAGATCACAGAGTTGGGCCCTCCTATTCAGTGATGTGGTTTCGGAAGCCACATATATTTATCTGTTGAAATAGTTTTCCATCTTACTTGACTTTTTATTCTAGTTTAGATCATAACTGGGCCAGTCATGTTGACACATGCCTATAATTCCTAGCCCTTGGAAGGCAGAGACAGGAGGGGGATCATAAGTTCCAGACCCACCTAGGGTAGGAACATAGTGACTTATCTCAATAAAGAATGAAAAACTAAGCCAGGTGTGGTGGTGCATGCCTTTAATTCCAGCAATAGAGAGCCAGGTAGATCACTGTGAGTTTGAGGCCAGTCTGGTCTACAAAGCAAGTTCCAGGACAGGCAGGGCTACACAAAGAAACTCTTGTCTTGAAAAACCAAACAACAACAAAAAAGAAAAACTAATGCGTTTTTCTATCTCTTATTTGTTACATATTGTAGCTGTGTATTTGGAAATTTGGTAAAAAGTTCCTCTATTAAGGTCCCTAAGACAGCACTCAATAATACTGCATTGCTTGTAAAATAATTGGGATTTGATTTCTGTTTCAGCACTGAAGAACTGGGTTGATTGTGTTTGTATACTGGTGTATTTTATTTATTATTATGAGTTGCCTTTTTGTTTCGGTTAGTATGCTTTACACATTTCCCATTTAACAGTGCATTGCTGACATCAGTTTTACTAGTTTGTTATTTACAATGATTAGTGTGCACTCTTCATCAATCACTCGGTGTATTAGTTTTTGCTGGTTTCTATAATTACTACAACCTCAGTGATTTAAAACAATAGAGTATTCTCTTACTGTCAGTTTTAGAGGTCAGATGTTTAAGATAAGGGTGTTGGCAGGGCCATGTCCTTTTCCACAGACGTGTGGTGGCTGGTGGCAGTCCTGGGCTGGTGGCTACGTCTCTGTTGCTCATTCATATGCAGGCTCCTGTGGATGCTTTTCAGAGCTCTGCTCCTCTCTCACAAGGCTGTAGTGACACATTGATCCCCACACAGTGCAGAATAAGCTTCTCCTGTCAAGGTCCTTAGTCACACTGTTCTGCATAGAAGGTAATATTTGTAGGGTTTAGGGGTAGGAGAGAGATCCTTGGGGCTGCCATTCAGTTCACTGTGCTCAGTAATTGAAATTATCTAAGATTTCCAATTTACAATCCTTGAAAACAGAATGATTTGATAAGGAGAGGAAACCTTTCATTAATTATAATCTAATTGATTTTTTTCCTCTTTCATAAACTGGGTGGTGTTTGATGTATTTCTCCTTTTATGTACTAAGTATTGTGATAAAATTTGTTCACTTGACGTGAATGAACAATTTCCCAAGTTCTTAAAAAACTTTTCCTGTTCAATATATATATATATATATATATATATATATATATATATATAGTTGTTGTTAAAATTCTTTTAAACTTACTTTAAAATTAACTGTTCAGAAGACCTAACTGCCATTTGAAACGTACAGAGTAAGTGTGCATGGTTATAAGAATGGGGGCTACCTGACTCCAGGAGAAACCTGATTCATGTTGCTCACATGTGTATGGGTGTTTTGCCTGCATGAATGTCTGGATCCCCTGGAACTGGAGTTATAGGCAGTTGTGAGCTGCCATGTGGGTGCTGGGAATTGAACCTGGGTCCTCCAGAAGAGGAGCCAGTGTTTTTAACTACTGAGCCATCTCTCCAGCCCCAGCAAAGGAATTTTTAAGTCACACTTGTGATCACATACTTTCTAGGACTCCTAGAACAAAAATACACTGAATGGATGGGATTCACGTTAATCTCATGCATGTCTAAATGGTATAGACAAACTGTGTGAATGAGACTCTAGTTAATATACTGTATGTTCAAACAGTACAGATGGTGCCTCTTCAGGCACTGTTTAGGCATGCATTATATCAGCTAGATTATAATTCATGAATGCTGAATTACTGAATGTACTGCTCTGGGCTAAATGTTTTTAAAACGTGCTTTAAAAAAAAAAATCTCAAACTCATACTTACAATCAGTTATCTTTACAGTCATGATATTTTATAAAACCCGTGAGCATTCTTATTTATGTAATAAGTTATCTTAGTCAGAATACCATTATACCAAATACTTCATTTCTATTTTTTGAAAGCTTTATTTCAAGTTTTTTCACTCTTTAATGAAAATAAATTTTTTCATATACAGTATATTCAGCTAGGTTTCTCCTCTCTCGTCTTCCCCCAGACCCTCCCTACATCCCCATCTACCCAACTCCACGCCTTCTTTCTTTCTTAGAAAACAAATAAGCAAATGTAAACAAACAGACCAGAATTTTAACAAAGAAAAAGCATAAGAAACACATGCAGAGACACACACACACAAAACAAAACTCATAAAAACACAAAATCAGAAATCATAGTATACAAGCAAAAGACCAGGAAGATTTAAAAACAAACAAACAAACAAACAAAAACCAAACAAAGCAATTTGAGACCAAAGCTATCACTGAGTTTGTTTTGTGTTGGCCTTCTACTGCTGAGCATAGGATCTGTCCCAACTGTTTACATATCCAATGAGATCCATTGGAGAGATCCTTTGGTAAGCAGTTACCAATTGGAGATAACTTCAGGGTTAGGGATTGTATCCACTTTCCTCTCTCAGTCCAGGAACTCCATCTGACTTGGCCCTGTGCAGGCCCTGTGCATGCTACCACATTCTTTGTGAGTTCATGTGTATGTCAGTCATGCTGCTTCCTTGGTGCTTTCCATCTCCTCTGGCTCTTATAATCTTTCTGCTTCCTTTTATGGCATAGTTTCTTGAGCTCTGAAAGGAAGGTTTAATGAAGACGTCCTATTTAGGACCACAAATTCCAGAGTCTCACTGTCTAAAAATTGTCCAGTTGTGGGTCTCGGTATTAATTCCCATCTACTGCAGGTGAAAGCTTCTCTGATGACGACTGGGCAAGACAGTGATATATGGGTATAGGTAGAATGTCATTAGGCATCATTTTGTTGTTGAATTCCTTTAGCGTCACAATAGAGTATTTGGTTTTCTTATAGGACTGTGGTCGGTCTAATCTCAGGCTCCATCTCATGGAGTGGGTCTTAAATCCAGTCAGATAGCGGTTGGTCACGCCCACCACGTTTGTGTCACTATTGCACCAGGGTGTCATGCTGGCAGGTCACCATTGTAGATTTCAGGGTTTGTAAATGGGTTGCTGGTTACCTTTCTCCTCCCGTGGTGTGCTGTGAAGACTCTGGACAGACACCAGTGTGACTTCTCCATGTTCAGTGAGTTACTGTAGGCTTATCTTTAGCATCAACTCGTGAAGGTTTCCATGGAGCCCCTTTTGGCAACAGCTCAACTAGATGTAACACATTCCTGTTACTGGAGGTTTCACTTGATGGTGAAAGATGTCTAGTTGGGGCACTCTCTCCCCCATTATTTGGCGACTCCATTTAGATTTCTTTGATATATATATATATATATATATATATATATATATATTT